GGGCGTGTCCATGATCCCTGCTGCGACTGTGAGGCGCCTACAGCAGACCAGACTACTCAGGGGACTGGGACATACAAGCACTCATTTAATCACTCACTCGATCTTCTCCTTGTTCTTGAAGAAATGCACCACGGGCGTGTCCATGATCCCTGCTGCGACTGTGAGGCGCCTACAGCAGACCAGACTACTCAGGGGACTGGGACATACAAGCACTCATTTAATCACTCACTCGATCTTCTCCTTGTTCTTGAAGAAATGCACCACGGGCGTGTCCATGATCCCTGCTGCGACTGTGAGGCGCCTACAGCAGACCAGACTACTCAGGGGACTGGGACATACAAGCACTCATTTAATCACTCACTCGATCTTCTCCTTGTTCTTGAAGAAATTCACCACAGGCGTGCCCATGATCCCTGCTGCCTCCGCGATCTCAGGGTCCTCCTCAATGTCAATCTCCACCCAGTGGATCTGACGGTCGAATTCTTCCACCACCTGTGAGTCAACGCAAGTCAACAGGAGTCAACAGGAGTCAAGCAATGGGGCAGTGCAAGGTAGCACCAATCTCAGGGTCCTCCTCGATGTCAATTTCCACCCAGCGAATCTGACGGTCGGATTTTTCCATTTTCACCACAAAAGCAAGCGCCTACCATACTGACCATTGTGCCTTGTGAGCAATGAGGAAAACTGGCCCGAAATCTACTCTACTCTACCCGCGCATACCTTAGCGAGCATGGGCTTGAGCGTCCTGCAGGGCCCGCAAGTCGGGGATGTGTAGATGACACCGATCAGGCGAGGAGACTCGTGGTAGAGCTTGCGCAGGGCGTACTGCCCCTTGTGACGCGTCAGCAGCGGGTCGAATCTCTCCTCCACGTCCTCCTCCGTCAGCTCCTTCTTCTCCACCACTTCCACCTCCTTCTGCTCGCACGAGAGGGAAGGGAGGAAACATAAAAAGGGAATACAATGTCCTGTGATGATCTGACCTCTCCTCCACGTCCTCCTCCGTCAGCTCCTTCTTCTCCACCACCTCCACCTCCTTCTGCTCACAACACGAACGCACACAGACAGACACAAGGGAACCGGATGGTAAGGTGGGTGTGGGAGGGTGGGAGAGAGACGGGTCGAACCTCTCCTCCACGCCCTCCTCCGTCAGCTCCTTCTTCTCCACCACCTCCACCTCCTTCTGCTCGCAACAAGGGTACGCAGACACTGGGAGGCAGGCAAGATAAGGGGGATGTAATGAGGAGAGGGCTGAATGATAGGGAGGTTGCTGATGACGCTGCTACTGGCGCTGCTGCTGGTTCTGATCCTACACTCCTAGTGCCATTTTCAGCACATCTACACAAGGCCGTACATGGTGGAACGCAATTGGCACGAGGCCGTGCGATCCGCTCCACTGACAGTGCTGCCATGCACCGCAACGCTGCTGCTCGTGCTGCTGCTCGTGCTGCTGTCCTTGCTGCTGCTCGTGCTGCTGTCCTTGCTGCTGCTCGTGCTGATGTCCTTGCTGCTGCTCGTGCTGCTGTCCTTGCTGCTGCTCGTGCTGCTGTCCTTGCTGCTGCTCGTGCTGCTGTCCTTGCTGCTGCTCGTGCTGCTGTCCTTGCTACAGTCACTCGTAGAGCTGTGTTGAGCACATCTACCACTCAGGGCACCCCGACGCTGCCTGCTGCTGCTACTGCCATCAATGCTACAGTCGCTCGTAATGCTGTGTTCAGCACATCAGGCACTTAATGAGCCGTACCTGGTGGAACTCGATGAGCAGGTCGTTTGCTGTGAGGTATCGCTCCACTGACAGCGCTGCCATGCACCCCGATGCTGCTGCTGTGATGGCCTGCCTCCACTCATGGTCCTGTTGATGGGTGAGAGAGGTTGATGGGGAGGCGAAAGAGTAGGGGAGGGGGGAACAAAAAAGAGCGAAGGATGAGCGAAAAGAGAGGACTAACATTCTGAATCAAACATGAAAAAAAAAAAAAAAAAAAAAAAAAAAACAGGTCATGCCACCACCACCACATCATACCCACTCCCATCCAGCTCCCACCTGCCCCGAGCCCAGGCCAAGCACCCTAGCCCCACCTGGAGTACCCTAGTGGTTGTGGTAGGGACCAAGACTGAGGAGGGGCAAGAAGACCAAGGGGAGGCTCACCTTGAGGTCGCCAGCAGCGAACACGCCCGGAACAGACGTCTCCACGGCATTGTCTTTCACCACCACATACCCGCTCCCATCCAGCTCCACCTGCCCCGCCAGCAGATCGCTATTCGGTTTGTGCCCGATGCCATAGAACAGCCCCTTCACAGGAATAATCCTCTCCTGCCCCGTCTGCGCGTCTTTCACGTTCATCCCAGCCATCTGCCCCTTGTCGTTCCCCACCACGTCTACAGGGATCGTGTTCAGGTGGACAGTCACGTTCGGGTTCTTAAACACGCGGTCCTGCATCGCCTTGCTGGCTCTTAACACATCCCGCCGCACCAGCAGATGCACGTGCTTAGCGTACTTAGTTAAGTAAAGCGCTTCCTCCACCGCCGTATCCCCCCCGCCCACCACCGCCAGCTCCTGCCCCTTGAAAATCGGGCTCGCGCCGTCGCAGATAGCACAGGCAGAAATGCCTCGCGACCAGTACTCTCTCTCGCTGGGGAGGCCCAATCGGCGCGCAGTGGCGCCCGTGGCGATGATGACGCTGTGGCAGCGCAACTCCCGGTCGCTGCTGCGCACTGTGAAGGGGCGGGTCTGAAGGTCGACGTATTCCACGTCTTCCGTATGCAGCTCCGCGCCCCACCGCTCCGCCTGCTGCTTCATCCTGGGGGAATAGCGCGGTGACGGAGAAGGGGGGAAGCCGGGGGATGCGGTGGGGGGGATGAAGGTATGGAGTACGGACTGGGAAGAGATGCGACTGGAAATCCCTGTTTTCCACTTCTCCGCACTTCTAAGAATTCTGTGTGGACCAAAAAGTGTGTAATTTGCGCGTTTCAGCATTTCTCGCTTGCTGTGTTCGCTTTCGCGGCGACTTACAAGTCGACTCAGCAGTCGGCTCTTTTGCACTTCCTCGAGACGACTTTTGAGGCGCCTCAAAAGTCGCTTTCGCGGCGACTTACAAGTCGACTCAGCAGTCGACTCTTTCGCACTTCCTCGAGAACCACGCACCTAATCATGAGGTCGGGGCCCGTAATTCCCTCCGGGAATCCCGGAAAGTTCTCGACCTCCGTGGTGGTCATGAGCTGGCCTCCGGGAACCCCCCCCGCCTGCACGCCCTCGAACAGCACTGGCTTCAGATTCGCCCGGGCGGCGTAGATCGCGGCGGTGTACCCCGCCGGGCCTGACCCAATGATCACCAGATTCTCAACGGTCGTCTCCACTGAAAGAGGATAGAAGATTGTGAGAGGGAGGGGAAGAGATTAGACGAGCTCGACAAGGTTAGCAGAAAGGGGCTGCGAGCGTTTTTGATTTTTTTTTATTTTAAAGGCTTAGCACGTTTTGTAGTCTTCAAGGAGACGAAAATGTTGCATGAATGGACGCAAGGAGTGGGAACGACGCTCACAATGACAAATGGCATACCTGTGCTCAAATAGGATCGACTGTGTTAAGTACAATGTATGGCGATCGGTGGTTAAACATTCATGCGTTATCGTTACACACGTACTGCTATGTCTTGCGACGTACCTGTGCTATCGCCTGCGGTCGTCGTCGAGGCATCAGTCGTCGCCACCGCTGACGTCACTCTCCGAGTTTGCGTCGGTTTCGCGATGACAGGATTGACCAATCGGGTTCCAGCGAAGCTCTGAACACTCCTTAATCTGCTGTATCTCAGCTTCCCTGATTGGTTCAGGCCACGAACGGCTAAGGATTGCGTGTTCGGCCTAAGTTGGGAAGCCTCGGCACGACGAAGCGCCTGCTGCAAATCAGACGCATTCGCGGCGACAGGCCCTCGGGCAAGGGCATGGTGTGACGGCATTGTCGTTCGAAAGCGAGTCTGCTGGAAGCGAGAGGGAAATTATTTCGGCGAAAACGGCAAAAGAAACCGATTTGCTTGGTTTGAAACAGCCGATACTAGCTTGTTTCACTTGCAGAAACGCCAGCGACGGCGGCTCCTGAGAGATAACAGAGAAACTGACGTATGTCCCCACAGAAATACGTATTGCAGGAGAAGTTGAGAGAAAACGGGAATGGAAATCTGGAGGTTGAAGCAGGAACAGGTTGGAATGGGGCTCACCCTCGAGCTGTATTCCGTCTTCCTGTCAGCTGCCACTATCTCTGGTGCTTAGTTTGTTTTCAAGAAACAAATCCCTGATTTAGCGGGTTGAATCAGACAGTTAACCTAAGAATGTCTCTGAGGTAAGAGTTCGCATCTCCGAGAACTGTGACCTCCACACAAACTGTACGGAGGTCTAGGGAGAAGGCTACTCCATCCGCACCACATGCCTTCGCCGCGTGGCACTCGTGCCATTTGTGTCCGAGCCTGATCGGCCGTGGATCACAAACTTCGTCCACGTCAGTCGATGCCTTGCGTCCAAATCTCGCACTTATGCATCCCCCCGAAACGGGAGCTGCTTCTGGAAGGCCCACAGAAGGTGTCGGTTCAGTGCGTCAGTCCACGTCATCCTTCGGCCAAGACGAGGCGCGACAATTTGGCTTGGTGCAGGTATGGTCCAGCCATGGAGGTGCGGCAAGATACCATGAGCAGGTATAATTAAATCGAGGATATCAGACAACCACAAACTCGTTAGCAGTGCTGGGTAAACTTCAGAAAATTACCTCGTGTATTCAACTCTTTCTGACTACACTCTACTGCTGATGACACCAAACCATTCACACCCTGTTGCAGCCATGAGTTGGCAGAACGCAGATAGCACATTAGAGACGAGTTAGACTAATTTTATGAAGTTCATACAATCTTATATAGCTGAATCGTGTGACACGTTTCACTAGTCACCACACTTGAACATGAATTCAAAGCTAACAATAAACCAAATATTTTGTCCTGCCTAGGTTGGGAGAAGCAGGACATTGCCTAGGAGGGGGGCAGCAGGCGACCGTGGTACATCTGATCCAGCAGTTGCTTCGCCTCGGGCCGCCGCAGCAACCCCTTGGCGTTCCCAACTCCCGTGCCCAGACACACCGGGCACACCAGCTTGCCTCGACCTGAGCAATCACAGCACAGTGATGTGAATAGTGAGGCACCAGGTCAGGTTCATGAAACCTTCTGTTCTCTATGTGGTTCAAATCACATGAATCTGCCCAGAAATTGTTTCACTTCTCCACGCCCATTCTGTGCAGGATACTGTGCAGACACAATCGACTCAACTCACCACTCTACTCTGATAAAAGAAAAGAATGTAGCAGCTTACCGTAGCAGTTGGGGCATTCGGTGAATTCGTACGTGTCCTTGGCTCTCTTGCGGTTCAGCGCCTTCCACTTGCCCGTACCACCACACATGTCGCCTGCAGGATAGAGAAACGAGAGCAAGGGGTTTAAAAAGGGCGCCTTCCACTTTGAGTCACAAACCCTACACTCGCCAGTGCCACCACACAAATCACCTGCAGCACAGAGAAGTGATAAAGGGATTCAGACAGGTTTTGAGGTTCACAATTCTTCCAGGCGAGTTTTTTCTGTAAGCTCTCACCCGCAACACTCTGGAAATGGGTGTTACCGTGTTACAAAAAAAGTAACAATTTTCCTATTTCTGAGGCGGCTCACACGTACGGTTTACGCAGTGAATCACTGATTCCGGTGGAAAGTGGCTCTGGAGGCTGAGAGAAGGGTGGTATGGCATGCATATGGCATCATAAGGTGTCTTAGAAGTCGCTTTTAGAGGCGCGTCGGGAATTTTAGGGTAGAAAAAGGGCGTGGTGGTTGAGAGAAGGGGGGCACGGATGGGGAAAAACTGGGGATGGGGATAAGGGGGACGAGGAGGTGAGGGGGAAGGGGAGGGGTGGGTACTGAGGCTGGAAGAAGGAAGGAGAGTGGTGGGGAACTGCCAAGTGACGGTGAAATGCATGAGATGGAGGAAAGAGGTAGGGTGAGAGTAGCAGCGGGGAAGAGGTAGGTAGGGTGATGGTATGAGGTGAGTAGGGTAATGGTATGAGGTGAAACATGCCTAAGAGGGGATGCTGTTGCTACTGCGGACACAACTGGCGCTGCTGCTGCCATTGCTGCTGCTGCTAGCGTCTCCGCTCTAGAACACCCCATACTGCCTCCACTGGTGCTGTCAATGCCACTGCTGCTGTCATTGCTGCTGCTTATTACCCGAACAAAGATGGCTACCTGAGAAGCATCGACAGAAGAGCACTTACAGACAACAGCGCCGGCGCCCTGGCAGTTGCGGCAGACGGAGGAGTTGGAGGGAGGCGCGGGGATTATCTCCGCCCTCGCGTCACCTGACACCGCCGCCACCGCCGCTGCCACTGCAGTTCCGCACGCTCCACACAACAGCTGACGACGGCTGCTGGCGCTGCTGGTGCTGCTGGTGGTGGTGGTGTTGGGCTGTGTGGCGCTGTTGACGTTGCTGGGCTGTTCCGTGCTGGCGTTCGCATTATCTGTGACGGGGGGAGGATGCGGGGAAAGAGAGGGAGGAGGTGAGCTCTGTACTGTGGGATCGGCTGAGCAGCCTTCCTGAACAAATCGGTTGCTCGGTGCAACATCCCTGGACAGATCAGCTGATTGGTTAATCACGTAAATTTCAGACGACGAATCGCAGCAGAAACAGCAACCGCTGATCGCAAGTAGACGAACGAGCTGATACAGGTAAAACGAGGCACAGAAGAGAGTTTTTAAGCCGCCTGAACGACCGGCGAGAGGAATTAATGATGAGTCACATCTTTTGAATCTAGCAACCTCGGAACTGAAGGAAACTGCGTGGAATCGTAACCAAACAAATGAGCAATGCCGGTTCTTTAGAAAAAAACGTTTCAAACCAGAGAAACACGATGTGACAGGCAGAAGAAAAGCCAGTTCCCAAGTTCAGCGCGATCGGCATTTTCCAGCGCTGCTAACGGCACGTGCAGCGACATAATCGGGGATCAACATGTGCGACGCGCGACGTGCGACGCTCACCAGGTTCATGCGAGCAGCGAGCGGAATGAACGTGCGATCCAGCAGCAGAAGCGGGTTGTTGCCTGAGCGAGCCTGCAGTGGACACGGGCGAAGCAGCAGAAGCCGACCGCGCGACGGTCGACAGGTGCAGCCGTCCGGTGAAGGACGACGAGGAAGCCATGCTACGATGCCGCGTGCAAAATGGTAACGGGACTGCTTATAACGCAGCCGTTTAACAAGCTTAGAGACTCTGACAGGAGGAGTGCACGGGAACGACTGCGACTAAGGCCTCCGTTTCGCTGAGCAGCTATTTGGCAAGCTAGACGTTGATCCTGACCCTGACTGACGAGATAGCGGCTTGCTTGCTTCCCAAGCAGATAAAAGAGAACTGGAGTTTCAAACCTCGGATGTTATCGAGGGTGTTCAGCGCGTCTAATACCTAGTCATGAACCACGGTGCGTAGCATTTCAAAGGGATGAATATTTATGCCGCTCCATACCGTACCAAAACCTACTGCAGCGTACTGGAGTGTTTTTCCACCACATCGTGATTTGCTAGTTACCTGCAGCAAGCTGTGACTGACACGGCAGCTGCACAAGCTAGTTCTGGTAAAACATGACGGATTTCGTCTATCCCGTTGACATGAGAGTGGGGATGTATTCTCGCGTGGCATTCTCCCGCTGACATGGCAGCGTCGGGCAAAGCCACGTGCGCAGTGGGTTCCAAGGGTGGTGGAAACGTGGGTCGTGCACGATTGCGCTAACAAGAAACAAGCAATCACAGCGATATGGGTACATGTAAAACACTAACCTGTGGTAATAGTCATGGGCAATCTCTATATTATGCCCAGTATACCTATATGCTTATTTATTCCTCATTTGTTTTCTAGTTACTATGACTTGGGCAAGTGCATGTGCTTTTTTAGGAACTTGGAAGCTTCCCGATCCGCCCTATGACAAAGCACACGCAGAAGCACATGTGCATCGTGCCCAGTGAGCCCTGCGCCTCCACCCTTCACAAATGAAGACGCCCGGAAAGCACCACCTGCCGCTTGACTGGCTCCCGCTGCTTGCTTGTAAACGATAATGACGTCAGCAGTCTGGAATGGGGAGGACAATACGGTAGTTGGAACACGTGGGGTATTGACGAAAGAATATTAAGTTGAGGCTAGGTTCATTGGAACAGGCCATTGTAGAATGGGGGCATGAAAAATACCTTACAAATAAAGTACAAGTATGTTACGAACATGAAAATACAGTACAAATGCTTTGTAAAACACTCACATCGAGGGAGTAGTAGTTAAGCACTTGCTGCACCTGAGCTGCTGCCTTGTTTACCACCTCCTGTGGCAAGCCATTGCCGTTCGCCACAAAGAACTCCTGGGGGACGGGAAATGGGGAACGGGAAAGGGGGGAGGAAGAGTGAGGAAGGGGAAAGGGGACAGGGTAAGGGGGAAGGAGGAAGGGGGAAGGGGGGAGGAGGAAGGGGGAAGGGGGGAGGAGGAAGGGGGAAGGGGGGAGGAGGAAGGGGGAAGGGGGAAGGGGGGAGGGAGGGGGGAAGAGGGAAGGGGGAAAGGGGAAGGGGGAAGGGGGAAGGGGGAAAGTGGAAGGGGAAAGGGGGGAGGGGGGAGGGGGAAAGGGGAAGGGTATCGTGTCATGCAATGTGTATGATGAATCATGTCCATATCATGGCTATGTGATGTTCTCTCACCTTAAGAGGATACAGATCTCCAAGCCATCATTATGTCAAAGAAATTTCGTGCCATGTTATGTCATGTCATGTCATGTAATGTCATGTCATGTCATGCCATGTCACATCAACTGCTCATCTTCATTCTGACTCATGTCAACATTTGCCATATCATGCCATGCCATGCCATTCGCTCTCATATGACATCACCCCTCTCACCTTGAGAATGCGAAGGTCATCTTCCAGGGCATCGTAGTCTGACTGGGCGAACACCCTCAGAGGCCCACCATCCAGAAGCACACGCAGCAGGCCCTCCTGGTGGGGTGCGTGAGTTACAAAAGTGGTTTCAAAGATTAGAGGAACACAGATCAGAATTCACCAGCTCGCAGAGGCGTGCGTACCAGGTAAAAGCATGCGCAGCAGGCCCTCCATGTGTGTCGGGGTGAGAGTGGCGGGGTTTCAGGTCAGGGGGGCATCAGGACAAGATGATAAGGAATTTGATAAGGTATGAAAAAAACAGTAAGAAAAACAAATTCTCCCCCCGTCCCCACCCCCCATCCTCCCCCCCGAACCCCAACAAAAACAACTAGATTACCAGAACAGAGTGCAGGAGAGAGGTGACGACACGATCCCTCAGAGAGTCTGAGACGGTCTCCACAATTTCCCCCAACACCTGGAAGTGGATACAAGAACCAAAGCGATCCAAACACACATTCAATCAGCATGGATCACACCGTACATGATCAGTGCTCCATCTTACAGCACAGCATGGCGAAGAAAAAAAAAAACAAAAAAAAAAACAAAAAAAAAACTCTCACTGGGTCTAGCTTAAGCATGAGGTTACTCATGCGGCACGCGTCCACGCTCACACGATACACAATCGATCCAACGTTCCCACCCGCACACAATACGGTATGACTTAGAGTCTATAATAACCATGACAGGAACAACGGGCTCTCACCGGGTCCAGCTTGAGCATGAGGTTACTCATGCGGCACGACTCCACGCTCACGCGATACACAATCGATCCAACGTTCCCACCGCACACAATACGGTATGACTTAGAGTCTATAATAACCATGACAGGAACAACGGGCTCTCACCGGGTCCAGCTTGAGCATGAGGTTACTCATGCGGCACGACTCCACGCTCACACGATACACCTCCTCCAGAAACGCCTCCCTCAGGTCCCACCACACTACTTTGGTGCCTGCATGCACGGAACAGGATAAGACATACGGTTGCTGCCACGTATCGGATTTATTGGACGGGTTTATATCACCTAACTGTAGCTCACACAATGCAGCCTGGATCGCCTCCCTCAGGTGCCACCACACCACTTTCGTGCCTGGATGAAACATGATCAACAATTTGGCGGTGCAAACTTGAGTCATCCGCTGGGTGCCTTGTAAGGTTCACTTGCAGCGTGGTGGCCTTTAGAAAAAGCATTTAAGCAAATCCAACTGCTGTCACACAGACTCATTCCGCCTTCCAGGGAATTACTCACCGAGGTAGTCCGAGAGGGTTTGCATGCGCTGCGCTGCAAGCGTGGTAGTCTGCTCATAGAAGCTTCCTCTCTTGAGCCCAGAAACACCCTCAGTGGATAGGCGGAAGGCGAGGGAGGAGGTTAGCTGGGATGGGGCCAAAGCTGTAAGCGGGAAAAGAGGAAGGTTCAAACAGGGGAGGGGAGAAAGAGCATTCCATGCGCAGAAAATAGCAGAGAAGTTTGGTTTGAGACGCCTCAGTAGACACCCACGCACACCTTGCACATGAGGGGATGTTTGAGGCGCCTAAGAGATTGTCGTAAACTGACAGTTTTGACACGCCTACAGCACACTTGGCACACGAAAGGGGAGAGGCAGAGGCTCAAAGGTCACCCCATTGACAGAGGAGATGCCAAGGAGGAGTACGAAGGACCAGCGGAGGCATATACTCGGCCAGTGTTCACCTGCCATGTCAGGATTCTCATGTGCCACGTCAGTAGTCTCAGTTGTTTGCCACGTCAGCGTACCTGCCATGTCATCAATCTTGAGGTGCGGCGCGTACTCGTCCCAGCGCTCACAAAGAGCCTTCTCAGACTTGTCAAGCTCTACTGTCACGAACTGGTGTGTGGGAGGGTAACAAAGAGCAAAGAGCGGAACAAGAGGGGAGAAGAGAGGGGAGAGGAGAGGAGAAGACGGATGATATTGGGGTGCGGCGCGTACTCGTCCCAGCACTCACAGAGTGCCTTCTCAGACTTGTCGAGCTCTACTGTCACGGACTGGTGTGGGGGGAACAGGTAGGATAGACCAGAGTACAGGAGATTTGTGGGTAGCTTTGCAGTCAGACTCAGAGCTTTCAGACTTGTCCACCTCTGCTGTCACAAACTGGTGTAAGGAGGGAGATCAAACCACAAAGAGTGAGAGCAACGTTTAAAATGGTTTCCTCTCTTGAGCCCTGCATCATCAACAGCGCAGCGACACACCCAACTCTCACCTCCTTGGTGTTGATATGTGCACACAGATTCCTCACACTCACTGCATCAATCGCAGCGACGGCTCTCGAAAGAGCCACACTCTACAGTATCAGCCTTAGAACACGCACCTAACACACCCAATTCTCACCTCCAGAGTGTTGATCCGCACACACAGCTTCTTCACAGTCAGCGCATCAATCGCAGCCGCTTTCGCCGCATCAACCACCCTCACCCCAACTCTCCCTCCCACTCCCGCTCCTGCTCCCCCTCCCCCACCTCCCACACCCTTCCGCGCATGCCACAGCCCCTCCAAATACCCCGCTTTTCCCTTCTGCACCCTCTCCTCTCTCTCTGCCTTTCTCTCCGCCTTATCAGCGAGCCGCTGGGCCAGGTCTTCCTTGAAGCGCGTGAGGGGCGGCGGAGGCAGCTTGAGGTCGTCTCTGGGGCCGAGAGCAGCAATCTTGGCCACGTAGGCGCTCATGAGGGTGTCGGTGCTGTGGACGATTTGTTGTAGCATGGGCAGGCGGGGAGGGAGACCCAGCCGGAAGAATTGCTCTAGCACCTGTGGCAGGGGGTGTGAAGGGAGGACAAGGAGGACAGGGAGACAGGGAGGTAGCTTGAGTTCGTCTCTCCGCCTTATCAGCGAGGCGCTGGGCCAGGTCACACAGAAAGGTCTGGGTAACATAGGCACTCATAAGGTATCAGCGAGCCGCTGGGCCAGGTCCTCCTTGAAGCGCGTGAGGGGGGGCGGAGAGAGCTTGAGGTCGTCTCTTGGGCCGAGAGCAGCGATCTTGGCAGCGTAGGCGCTCATGAGGGTGTCGGTGCTGTGCACGATTTGTTGCAGCATGGGCAGGCGGGGAGGGAGACCAAAACGAAAGAACTGCTCTAGAACCTGCAGTAGGGGGTGTAAAAGAGGACAGGGAGGACAGGGAGGACAGGGAGGACAGGGAGGACAGGGAGGACAGGGAGGACAGGGAGGCAGCTTGAGGTCGTCTCTGGGGGCGAGTACATAGCAGCTTGGGGCAGCTTGATTTTGGGGATGTAAGAGGTCATGAGGGTGTCGGTGCTGTGGAGTGGAGCATCTGCTGTGGCATGGGCAGGCGGGGAGCCACATAGCATCCACTGCTGAAGCCCCGTGGTTGAGGTATGGATATTTTGAGACGTCTCAAAAGTTTTGTTTTGAGACGTCTCAGAACTAGACTGCTGCGGAGAATCTGCTCTGGCATGGGCAGGCGGGGAGCCACATAGCATCCACTGCTGACGCCCTGTGGTTGAGGTATGGATATTACAGAACCAGCACAAGCTCAGCTGTCGCCTGTAAAGGTAAGCACCACCACACCACCTCTCCCACCGCCCAACGCTCACCTCTTCCACCAGGCGCACAGCATCCACTGCAGAAGCCCCATGCTTGGGAAAGACTTTTGAGGCACCTTAAAAGTCGTCTCCAGTCGCACAGCGTCCACTAATGCAGCCCCGTGTTTGGAAAAGAGAGGCTGAAGGAGGATCAGCTGACGCCTGTGGTGGGGTGACCTGTCACAGTTGCAGCCTTCACCAGTCAACCCCTACTTTTTCTACCACAACCCACACCCCTCACCTCTTCTACCAGGCGCACTGCATCCACTGCAGAAGCCCCATGCTTGATTGTATCTGAGGCTGGCTCGAAGGTCTGGAGGAGCAGCATGAGAGGCGAGGTGGAAAGAGCAGGTGAGAAGAGCGAATGGGATTAGCGGGCGGGTGAAGAATTGGGGCAAGGAATTGACAAGGAGCGAGAAAGTTGGCAAACCGAAATGCAGAAAACAGGAAATGCAGAAAAAAGGAAATGCAGGCCCCTCTCTCACCTCTCACCTATGCAGGCAGAGAGTCCATATAAAGAAACCGGATCCCTCTCTCACCTCTGCCTCCACGCCCCTCGTGTGATGAGTCGGTTTTTGAGTCGACTCATCACACGCGGATTTTGAGTCGACTCAAAAACCGACTCATCACATGCAGAAAACAGGAAATGAAGGCAGAGAGTCCATATAAAGAAACCGGATCCCTCTCTCACCTCTGCCTCCACGCCCCTCTCCATCCCCACATGCAGCTTCTGCTGTGGTAAGCAATTCACCCTGCCTTCCTCCTCGCATACAACACTCTCGAGTCCCCCCTCTTCTATCCTCCCTCCCTTCCCTCTTTCTCACCTCTGCCTCCACGCCCCTCTCCATCCCCACATGCAGCTTCTGCTGCTGCAATACACAATTCACCCTGCCTTCCCCCCTCGTCTATCCTCCCTCCCTTCCCTCTCTCTCACCTCTGCCTCTACACCTCTCTCCATCCACACGTGCAGCTTCTGCTGCTGCGCTGACACCCATGCAGAGAATAGACGCTTCATCACAGGGTCGATCTGCGGGGAAGGTTGCAGCAAGGAATGTAAGGGAGGGCTCACGGTTATGAGACAGGAACAAATGTGCCCAGGGTCATGAGGTGTTTCAAAACACACCCACGTGGAGAACAGACGCTTCATGATAGGATCGATCTGCGTGCGGGGAAGGCAGAAGCATATGGGAGACCAGTTAGTCACTTGGTTTAGGGTTTAGGGTTTAGGGTTTAGGGAGAGGGGAACTGATCAAGTACTTCATCATAGAAATGAAGAGAATGGGGAAGAATGAAGAGGGGAACTGATGAAGTACTTCATCATAGAAATGAAGAGAATGGGGAAGAATGAAGAGGGGAACTGATGAAGTACTTCATCATAGAAATGAAGAGAATGGGGAAGAATGAAGAGGGGAACTGATGAAGTACTTCATCATAGAAATGAAGAGAATGGGGAAGAATGAAGAGGGGAACTGATCAAGTACTTCATCATAGAAATGAAGAGAATGGGGAAGAATGAAGAGGGGAACTGATCAAGTACTTCATCATAGAAATGAAGAGAATGGGGAAGAATGAAGAGGGGAACTGATGAAGTACTTCATCATAGAAATGAAGAGAATGGGGAAGAATGAAGAGGGGAACTGATGAAGTACTTCATCATAGAAATGAAGAGAATGGGGAAGAATGAAGAGGGGAACTGATCAAGTACTTCATCATAGAAATGAAGAGAATGGGGAAGAATGAAGAGGGGAACTGATCAAGTACTTCATCATAGAAATGAAGAGAATGGGGAAGAATGAAGAGGGGAACTGATGAAGTACTTCATCATAGAAATGAAGAGAATGGGGAAGAATGAAGAGGGGAACTGATCAAGTACTTCATCATAGAAATGAAGAGAATGGGGAAGAATGAAGAGGGGAACTGATGAAGTACCAGGTGGTAGCTGCTAAGAATAGAAATGAAATAGGAGAAGGACGTTGGCAAGTAGTTCTCCTTCTCTTTTGCCAGCAGCCCTTGGTGAGATGCTCTCTTCTTCTTCTCCTCCTCCTCTGCCCGCACCTCCCCCTGCACCACCTGCTGCACGCGCCTGTCGGATGCAATTACATCACAGCACCTCGAGACCAAAGGGAACCCACCTGGTACGGGTTGAGCTCGCTTGCGATCTGTGCTGCATGGCCGTATCCCCCATGCCCCTCTCCTGCTCTCTTCTTCTCCTCTTCCTCTGCCCGCACCTCCCCCTGAACCACGTGCTGCACGCGCCTGTCAAATGCGTCCACAGCGTAAAACACCTTGCAGCAGTCGGGGTGCAGCTCTGATACCACTGAGAGGAACGGGTCCTGGTACACAGGGGGAAGGCGTTGGGAGAGGTGGAATGTGGTGAGAATGCATGGAGAGGGGTCGGAGGAAAAATTCCTTGCAGCAGTCGGGGTGCAGCTCTGATACCACTGAGAGGAACGGGTCCTGGTGGGTTAGAGGTGCACACAGGAAAAGATATGGATACAACAAGAAGCAGAACGGCTTGCAGAAGTCTAGTTTTGAGACGTCTCGTTTTGAGTTTTGAGACGTCTCAAAACTAAGCACGAACGGCTTGCAGAAGTCGTTTCTGAGAAATATCAAAGCCTATTACTTTAACCAAGCTCACACAACTCACCAGTTGCGAATCCAGCTGCTGGTGTAGCGCTGCTGCTGCCACTGCTGCTGTCCCATACACCCCCAACCGCCTGAACACCGCAACACATCCACCCTTAGCCGCCCCTCCCTCCCCTCCCTCTCCCCTTACTCTCCCGCCTCCCTTCCCTGTTCGCCCTTCATCCCCCGCAACCATCCCCCCCGCCTCCCTCTCTATAACCACAGTCGCCAGCTCAGCCATCTGAGCCAATCCCACCTCTCCGCCCGCCCCTGCTGCTCTGAAATCCGAAGCGGGTCCGTCTGTGGAAGGGTCTGGGAATGAGAAGGAGGAGCTGCCATCGGCGTTCTGGTCGTGGGTGTGCTGCTGGGCTTTGGCTGCTGCTGCTGCCATGGCGTCTAGGCAGGCGCGGTCGAAGGACGAGAGCACTGACATGTGCACGAACTCGAGTACCTCCTCCACTCGCTCCATGCTCGGTGGTGCTCCTCCTGGGGTCTGCGAGAGATGAGGATGGGTTAGATTATGGAGTAGGACACGCACATACACACACGGACACAATCAAAGGATGAGAGGGCCTACATCCGCATGAACTCCAGCCCCTCCTCCACTCGCTGCATGCTCGGTGGTGCTCCTGGGGGCTGGAAGAGAGGGAAGGAAAATGATACATAGGCTGCTGGGGTTTGAGAAATCTCAAAAAAGGCCTGCAACAACAAGGGCTGCTGCTGGGCCTTGGGAGGGGAAGGGGCAGATCGGGTGGTATTACGGTTTGCATTATGGCATTAACACATCCCACCTTACAGAAGCAAGCAAGGTTAAGAAACACATCCTCTTCCTCCGGCTCCCCCATCCGTTCCCCCAGCCCTCCCCTCTCTCACCGTGTGCCTGCGGCTACTCCTCTTCCTGCCTGCTTCCAGCAGGTCGCAGCAGCACAGGTATGAGTCCAGAGCCGATTCCAATGCTGCCAATCCGTCTGCATTCGCGCCAGTACTGCTGGAAGCCTGGGGATTAAGAGGATGAAAGGGCAAGGGTCAGGGCAGGGACGAGGGGGAAAAAGCGCGGAGTGAGGAGGCAGGTCACAGCAGCACAGATACGGGTCCAAAGCTGATTCCAATGCTGCCAATCCGTCTGCAATCGCGCTAGTACTGCCACTCGCGCTGGACGCCTGGGAAAAAGAGCGGGCCAGGGGTGGAGGGAGAGTGGAGAGAGGAGGGGAGATGTGAGGCAGTGGTGTGGAGTATGGTACGTGAGAGGAGCAGCAGACTACAGAGCCGGGTATGGACATGGACACATGGGCATGGCTGCACGGGTTAAGGGATTCAAGCCTGGGGGGTGATAACCCGCTCACTTCCAGCAGCGTGTGGTGGTAGTCACTTAGAAGCGACGGTCTAAGTTTCAGGCGCCTCAGAAAGAAACTAAGCACTCACCTCCAGCAGGGTGTGGTGGTAGTCACTTAGAAGGGACGACAGGAAGCGAGACACCGACTGCACGAACGGGAGAAGGAGAACCTTCGCTGAAGGTTCCTCTCTGCAATCTGCTGCTGCTACTGCTTTTGCTGCTGCTGCTGCTGTTCCTGCTGCTGCTGTTGCGGATGAGGATGATGATGGTCGGGCACAGGCAGTGGTTGGTAAGCGGCGCAGTGATTGGCAGATGAGCGGAAGCACGGCTCTGATTGGCAGAAGCTGCTGCTGCTGATCTGGCAGACCGCCAGCTGGCGATGGTGATGAGAGCGGGTGAGGGAGAGTTGGAACAGAAGCCTGGGAGAAGGGGAAAGAGGGGAAGGTAAGATAAGATGTTTGTTCCAGCGTATGTTTTTTGAGAATTCTCAAAAAACGGTCGACTAAACAAACATGCTGCTGATGTTGATAGACAGCGCGTGAGAGAGGGTTGGAACCAAAGCCTCCAAGAGGACATGCATGTCACCTGGCAATCCATGTCACCTGGCAATCCACGTCACCTGGATGGGCATGCCACCTGGCAGTGAGCACACACCTTCTGGCAGAGAGTCCAGGCTTGCAGGGCACTGTGCGTGACAGGTGTCACTCCCAGAGGCTGCCACGTGGGCCTGACGGCCTCAATTCTCTCCTCCATCTCCTGTGGATTGTGAGAGAGGAGGAAGGGGAAAAAGGAGGTGGGAGAGAAAGGGGGGGGGTGGGGCGGCGGTGTTCGGGGGAAGGGAGTTTTGAGCAAGCAAGGAAGAGAAAATGACAGAGAGTGTGGATGTACGAACTAGCAGAGAAGAAAAACTTCACATGATTCTCCTACTTACGGTCGACGGGCGTCAGGCAGGCACTGTCGCTTGCCTGCCTGCCAGTACTAGCATCGCTGCTGCTTGCTATGCTGTGATGTCATGAGCTGTGCTGTGATGTCATGTGCTGTGATGTCATGTGCTGTGATGTCATGTGCTGTGATGTCATGTGATGTGATGTCATGTGCTGTGATGTCATGTGATGTGATGTGCTGTGATGTCATGTGCTGTGCTGTGATGTCATGTGCTGTGCTGTGATGTCATGTGCTGTGCTGTGATGTCATGTGCTGTGCTGTGATGTCATGTGCTGTGATGTCATGTGCTGTGATGTCATGTGATGTGATGTCATGTGCTGTGATGTCATGTGCTGTGATGTCATGTGCTGTGATGTCATGTGATGTGATGTCATGTGCTGTGATGTCATGTGCTGTGCGGTGATGTCATGTGCTGTGCGGTGATGTCATGTGCTGTGCGGTGCTGTCATGTGCTGTGCGGTGATGTCATGTGCTGTGCGGTGCTGTCATGTGCTGTGCGGTGTTGTGAAGTTCTTCCAAAGAGGAGGCCGTTGAAGGAGGTTGACTCAGAGGGATCACAGCAGGCGACCGGTAGCTGATGGTACAGAACACAGACGTGCTCAAGCTGGCCCTCAAGGGACACCAGGACAGCAGCAGGCAGGATGGGCAGCTGCCTACCTGCCACTACCGGCAATGCTGCTGCTTGCTGTGCTGTGCTTACAAAGAGGAGGTCGATGGAAGAGGCCGAATCAGAGGGATCACAGCAGGCGGACAGCAGCTGATGGTACAGAGACGCGTTCAAGCTGGCTCTGGTGGGACACCAGGCACCAGGCAGCACCGGTACCTGCTTCCCTTGCCTGCTGCCACTGCCACCAGCACTGCCACCAGCACTGCCACCAGCACCAGCAGCAGCACCACCAGCACTTCCAGCACTGTTGTTGCTTGCTGCTGCGGCCAGTACTGCTGCGTTTCCTCTCCTGCCGCCCCAGGCGAATCCCCCCACCAGCAGCCAGCGCAACTCGCTCAGTTTCCGGCTCCACTTGGCTTCGAAGGAGGGCGGGGAGGTAATGAACTCGTGACCCTGGATAAGAAAGAGGTGGAGGGAAAACAAGAAAAATAAAAAGCAATGCAAGTTTCATAGTGAAATTTGTGGAGCTCCACCCTTAGCATCTATCAGACAGACAGACTGATGCTATGGGCGTGCATGCAAGGGGCACGTCAGCGTCCAGCTCACCTTTACAAGTGCCAGCATGGCATCCAGAGCAGCTGCCACCTCAGCACAATCATCCCCGCCCGCTGCCTCTCCTCTCTTTCCTGTGCCCTGCTGCTTTGCAGTGCCTGTGACGTCTAGCAGAAGTTCCCGTAGCAGCTTCACCTGGTGTGGAGTGGATGGTTTGGATTGTAGTTTCTTTAGCATGGATCGTTTTTTGTAGGAAAACCGTAATGCACAATGATGTCGCAAGAACCAGTTGAAATACAGAAACATGCTATGGATTCAAATGATTGTTTTTTGTAGGCAAACCGTAATGCACAATGATGTCGCAAGAACCAGCTGAAATACAGAAACATGCTATGGAATCAAAGAGAGTTTGGAAAAAAAAAAAAAAAAAAAAAAAAAAAACGCACGCACGCACGCACGCACGCACGCACGCACGCACGCACGCACGCACGCACGCACGCACGCACGCACACACGCACACACACACACACACACACACACACCTGCACACACCTGTCTGTGGTAGAACGCCCTGCGGAGGTCTGGTGACAGATTGGAGAATGACGCAGCAAGAGAAGAAGCAGCGGCCTTCAGAGCACCAACTCCGGGGGAGAAGGAGGAGGAGAGAGAGGAGGGGATGGGGGAGAAGTGGAGGAGCAAGCAGAGGGGGAGAGGGAGGGGGGAAATGGCGGCAGCTGCTGCTGCTGCTGCGGCACCAGTGAGGGGGCTGATGGGGGATGGCATTTCGACGGTGTGTGAGGGGGGCGGAAGGAAGAGGGCTGAGAGGACGAGAGCGTGAAGAGACTCGGGTACCTGTCAGAAGCAAAGGGGCGTGTTCAGGGGAGGGAGATACCAGGGACGGAATTCTCTCAAAAAGGAAGCTTTAAAGGAGCAAGTAGTCAAGACAAGCAAACTGCAGGAGGAGATTTTTTAGTCAGATTGGTAAATGCATTTGGAAGGGAAGCACCAAAGGCAGGATGAAGCACGAGAAGGAACAGCAATTGGAAAGAAACAGATTCTTGCAAGCATTGGAAGAGCGTCGCAAGGGGCCAAGCAAAGAACGGGGGAGGAAGGGGCGGGGAAGGGGGAAACAATGGACGCATGGAAACCCAATTGGTGCCAGCTCCGATGGGACCTTTGAGTTGACTCAGAATGATCGTGTGACAAACCACAGGATGGTGCCACAAAGCACAGGGAAGGGGAGAAGAGGCGAGCACGTACCCCCAGTTGCTGTTGCATGCGAACCAGCTCCGGAGGCAGGGCTCCTCCTCCTGCTCCCTCTCCACCGCCACCGCTCCCAACCCCTCTCTCTCCAGCCCCACCGGCAGCACCAGTGCCAGCACCAGCAGCAGCAGCAGGTTTGGCTTGTTTGAGTTGCCCCACGTTGACCCCAACCTTCTTGGCAAAGCGGGACATGAAGCCGCCGGGGGACTTGGACTTGGGCTCCACAGGGGACTCGGGCCGGCGGGGCTTGCTCTTGCTGCTGCTGCTGCTGGCCGCACTGGTGGTGGGCCCTGGTGCAGAAATGGCTCTGGAATGGGAAGGGGAGGAGGAGGGGATGAGAGGGCAGGTTTGGCTCCTTTGAACTGACCCACGTTGACCCCAACCTTCTTGGCGAAGCGGGACACGAAGCCGCCTGGGGACTTAGAATTGGGCTCCACAGGGGTTTCAGGCCGCCGGGGCTTGCTCTTGCTGCTGCCTGCACTGGTGGCGGGCCCTGGTGCAGAAATGGCTCTGAGGTGGAAAGGGAAGCGGTGGAGTGGATGGATGAGGGGGCAGGTTCGAATGACTTGTGCCACTGCGAGGAGACTTTTGAGTCGACTCAAAAGTCACCTTGGATGAGGGGGCAGGTTTGACTGACTTGTGCCACTGCCACTGCCACATTCACCCGTTCTCAAGTGCACTGTAATAACAGCTGTGCCAGCTCACACAACTGTTGTTGCTCAACAATAAATGGAACGTCTCTAACTCATCCTTGTCAATCTGCTTTTGAAGCGCCTAAAAAATCGTCTCAGTTCACGCGGTTTTTGAATGGAACGTCTCTAACTCATCCTTGTCAATCTGCTCTGCTCAAAACAAAACGTGCTGCGAGCAGCAACACTTCATAAGCGCTCGCTTGATGTGACTTTTGCGTCGACTCAAAAGTCATCTCAGCTCAAACCAGGGCACGGTACTCACCCGGATTCCGCTGCCGCAAGTAGCAGCACCTCATAGGCGCTTGCTTGAAGCTCCTCCATCGTCAGCCCCGATGCCAGCTGGCGCAAAGGCCACTTCAGCCGCCCCCTCGCTGAGCTGGCAGATTCTCCATCTCTTGTGCCAGCTGGCGAGTCCTCGCCACCGCCCGCCACAAGCGTGGAAGACATCTCAGACGAATCCGAACACGAGGACGAATCGGACGACGCCACGTCATCATCGTCCTCGTCATCATTCCACCGCTCCTCATCAGTGCCAGGTGGCAGCTTCTTATTCGACCCACCAGACCTCCAGGCAGATCCCAGGATGCTCCCCTTCCCTCCAGACTCCTCGGCTCTCCCTCTCCCAATCTCGCTCTTCTTGCTTCCTGGTTCCCCTACCAGAGACGGGAAATCCAGCCGAGTAGGGACCGGGGGAGTAATCACAGCTGCAGAAGCCGCAGCAGAAGCAGCAGCTGCTGCAGCAGCAGCACTCCCACCGCCACTCATCCGCTCACCAGCACCTGCTGCATTACCAAACCCATGCCCACTGCTCGCCACGGAAACCCCACCAGCGCTGCCACCACCCCTGCTGCTAGCAGCCGACTCACGACCCCCTCCTGTTCCACTACTGACCACGCTATCCGAACCGTATCTATGCGGTGATGGGCCATGGGAATACGGAGCGTGGGCCTGTGAATCTACAGGAGGAGTGCCAGCAGCAGCAGTACCCCCTTGTGCAGCAAGAGGCCCTCCTGCTGCCAGAGTAGCAGCACCGAGGGCACTCAGAGCAGCTGCAGCTGCGGCCGACCGGGGAGCGGAAGAATGGTGGGCGGAAGCGGGACTCCTGCTGCCACCTGTAGGGGAAGGAGGAGGATACAGCGGTTCAGGCAGTGGGGTATCGTTATACTGATGAGATGGTGGTTGGGCGGAAGCAGGACTCCTACTGCCTCCTACAGGGGAAGCAGGAGGATAGAGTGGTTCACGTGGTGGGCTCCCATTATACTGATGAGATGGTGGTTGCGCGGAAGCAGGGCTCCTGCTAGCGCCTGCAGGAGAACGCGGAGAGAGTGGCTGAGGGGAAAGCGGAGAAATTGGCTGAGGTGACCGTGACCGGATCTGAAACTGACTGTGTGCAGCACTGTCATGATCTTGCAGCTGCAGAGATGAAGGCTTTTCTTGTGTTGGTGTCTTCACAGGGCTTGAATTCAGTGGCCGAATGGAATCAGGGCTTGCGGCATCAGCAACGTCGTGTGGAAACCCCGATGCTGAGGCTTTGGGATAATTTAAACTGGATGGTGATGCTGGGGAGGGCTTACCTGGGGAAGGCTGGCCTCCCCAAGCTGCTGCTAAATCTGGTGAGCCTCCTGCTCCTGCCGGGGCTTCCCTAGCAGCAGCACCTGCAGCAGCTGCTGCTGCTGCTGCTGTTCCAGGTGCTTTTGGTGCGCCCAATGACCCCTGGGAAAGGGCGTACATGGAGTGAACAGAAGAGGGCTTTTGGTTTTCATGATCAGTGGCCCCTGCCGCTGCTGCTGTTGCTTCTGCTGCTGTTGCAGCTGCTCCCGCTGCTTCTGGTGTGCACGGTGACCCCTGGGAGAGGGCGTACATGGAGTGAACAGAAGAGGCAGAGGAAGAGTAAGCCATAAACACCGAAGCTGATTCCACCCACCCTGCCACTGCCACTCTCTCCCGTGCTCCATCGCTCCCTCCTACGCTTTCCCTCAATCCTCTTCCTCCTGCAGCATCTTCCCCTCCTCCTCCTCGTCCTCGTCCTCGTCCTCGTCCTCCTGCCACCGCCGCCGCCGCTGCTGCTGCCGCTGCATCTGCTACTGCTGCTGCTGCTGCTGCTGCTCCCTGTCCGAACCTTTCCCCCTCACACTCCAAGCCACTCGCCCCCACTTGTCCCCATCCCCCCCAGTTCAACGCCCCTGTCACATCGGTCCCTGTGGAGCAGCGAACATCACTCTCAGTGGAATAGCCTTCAGGTGACGCCGCGAATGGAGTGCCAAACAGCTTCTTGGCTAATTGTTGCGCCTTAGGCTTGACTGGGGGAGGCGAATCCGGGGTTTGCTGCTGGGCTGGGGAAGAGAGCGGGAAGAGAGGCCGAGGGGGGGCTAGGAGGGTCTCTGGCTCGGCTCTGGCTGGTGGTTTTGCACGTCCTGCTCCCCAACCTCCCCTTGCTGCTCCTCCGACTGCTGCTCCGCCTGCTGCTGCTGCTGCTGAATCGGATCCATGGGCTCTAGAGGATTGATTCGGGACATGATCGGGAGCAGCTGAAGGGACAGCAGCACGGAACGACGGAGCAGCGGGTGCAGAAGGAGCAGAAGGAGCAGGAGGAGCGTATGCAGCAGCAGAGTCAAAGTCTGAGGCTGGCCGGGGATGGTGGGGATCAGGAGGCAGGCGAGGAGGAGCGGGGAACTCTGGGACTGTGCGGGAGGGGACTGGAAAGGCGGGAGCGAGGCGAGAAGGCGGAGGGCCGGAGGGCTCTGTGGAGGAGAGAATGACAGTGGAGGCTGTGACGAAATCTGCCTGCGAGGCGGAGTTGAGTGGGATTCAGAGAGGTTGAAAGGCAAGAGAAATGGCGGCAATGAAGCCAAGTCAAGGGTGGTGTTGGGGGGGATGGAGGTTGGATCTGAGATCTGTTTTCCTGCGATCGACTGGATCTAATCTGAAGCAGGAGCATCCAGACGTGTACAGGAGACAAGTTAATGCTACCGCAATTATCAGAATACAGCCATTTGAGACATCGAACAACTGAAACACGAGGAAGACGAGTCGAGCTCTCACCTCACCCCTCGGAGTGACTGTTGGTTGAGCTGAAATGGCTGCTTTTATATCCACGCGCGTCCCTGAAAGGTCGAACGAAAGCGGATGAATCAAGAGACAATACGGTAATATCTAACAGGCGAATAGGGTCTATTAGCGTACTGACTCTGACGAATAACTGGGGAAAGCCGAGCCGCCGTTCGGTGCAATCACAACTCAATGAACAGTAACCGAGGAAGCAAGGACGCGGAATAGTTTGATTCTGTCGGTTTCTGTTAGTGCTCCTAACAGTACCTGACGTGGCGCACCACAGGATGTAATCCACATTTATTCTGTCCAGGTCCGAGTCTGCCCAGCCGGTTGCCGCTAGCGACGTTAATAGGTTTGAAAGTAGCAAGCGTCGGTCTCTTCGTACGCGGTACAGCTCTGCTTCGAGATTCGCTACTGTTTCCATCATGCGAAACGCATCAGATGGATCACACGTGACTATCGGAGACTGCCACTATCTACGACTCGAACTTACCACGAGGTTCCACACTCCGACATTTTCCTTACTACCGTACTCATCTAGGAAGCATTCGACACCAGAATAGGTGGGATACCGGCCACTCAAGACTGTTTGTCATGCTCCAGCACGGCACGGCATTCGATGTGATATGGTGAGCTAATCAGGGAAGATTTGGCACCAGACCGCGACTTTGACGTGACCACCGTGTGAAATCTGAGAATTTCTCGTCACAAGCACATCTGGAATTATCTACCGTTATGGACTTACAAACTGAATTCTCAAAAAAACATTCCTCAAATTCTATATATCACTTCAGTTTCAATTCAATTGAGCTTATGCAGTTCTACAATCCAGGGTTTGAAATCCCATCTTTCTTGCCCCTCTATCATACACAACCAACTTGTTACGCATAGCTACATCTGCATCCACAATAAGTGAGGGCATGTCAGCAAGAGTGCCAAAATGCCTGAAGACATGCATGCCTACCAGAGATAAATTTCCCTCATTACCTCCAATGATGGTGATTGGTTGGCCCACCACACTGTTTGAGTCGTATACACAGAAGCACACCAAATTGTCCTGCGGGCCACCAAAAAAACAAGTAATATGCTATCTCTGCAAACATTACACCAAGCATATGGTAGCAGGCAGGCCGCAGGTACTCACAAACAGCCAAAGGTAGTTCTGGGGTGGTAACTCCAGGTTGGCACCATCCATCACAATTGCCACTGTCGGGAATGCAGACTGCAACGTCGCCGTATCGCTGGAATATAACAGTGGTATGGTTAGTATGAAGCCAAAAAAAGAACGGCATCCATAGGAACATGAAATACAAATACCTTGCAGAAACATTGTAGCACAGATTCAGAACAGATGCGACGTTCCCACCAGCCAGCTGATTGATTTCTTCCTGAGATAGCCTTCGGGCCTTTCCATCAACAGCTTGGATTACCTGCATCAATGTTACCCAAGAATAATCAATAACACTCAAAGGACATGAAAAGTTGAAGGGAAACGACATGAAAAGCTTAAAGGGAACCTACTGCTTCTCTGAGGGGAGTGTACGCTGCTTCTGGGAGCGTGAGCGCAGTACTGCCGCTATCAATGATGCCACCAGTTCCAGAAAACGTGTCAGCAGGGATTTGTAAATCCACACCATTCACCTGAATACCGAATATCGTCGCATTGTAAACCCTGCACATTGAAACACATGTCAGAGAGAACAAATGGGCCCAGCCTGGACATTTGCAGCATAGGTACGTACGTGGTGTCATTCCCCATAGGGACAAACTGCATGCTCGAGTCAGCCATAGGAGGTGGGCCAAATGTTATGAATCCGCCCCCATCCTCCCCACCCAAACAATGCGAGATTATATTTCCCTTAAGAACTCCGTCTTGCACTAGCTGTGAAGGAATGGAAAGAGGGCTTTGGCCCAGGCCAATCAGACCAATCAAGGGATCTTTGAGAAGCCCTTCAGCTTCATGAAAGTCACAGCTGAAACCAGATACCAGGTGGTTAGCAACTCTTCATAGAAGGCAAACTGTCCAAAACATTACAATATTTACCCAAAGGCAACAGGTGCTGATATCTCTGCTGGGCGACCTGGGAGAGTTAAGACATCACGCATCATAACTCCACCCGTGTAGCTTCCATCACCATATATGACAGCATAATTGCAGCGACTTGTGCCATTAGGTCTGCTCAAACACGATGCTATGAAAACGTTAGCAATGCACCTGAATCAAGCTATAGGTGAATCAATCAATGGTACTTACCCGCATCCAGCAACGCAGCGACCTCGAACTCCCAGCCTCGTGCAGCCGATTCCGCAACCTGCCCGATATGGGCCAGCGCAGGTGGTCTCATTGATCGCTTTGCACTCAGCACAATCGATTCTCTGACGAGTTGTTGACTGTTGAGCATTGAACGACCGAGCCTGAAATGTATAACAACGAGGAAGTCAGGCTTTTACCAATATGCAAAGCAGATTGCTTACATGACAAAACGTTCCCATACTCTTGTATTCCGAGGGCAGTTTACGCAGCCAGTACATCTGACCCACAACAGGTCGCTTCCAGTGTCAATGATGGTGTTCAATGATTCCTTCTGAGAACCCAGCTGCAGTGTAACGTAGTAGGTCCTGTTGAAAAAGCGCTGTGTCAGGACATATATATATATATATATCATGTTTAGAAAATAAACGGACGACTGACGTACCCCAATTGTTCAACGCCTCCATTGAGTGGGAGGGTTGATTCCTGACCCGCTGCCTGAAGCCTTCTAGATCCAGAAGTTTTGGCTCCCTGTGCATAATCGGACACATGACAATTAATTGCAACGGAACGGAATGAAGGCACACTGTACTACGGTGGAGCGTGCCAGGTAGGAATCAGCACCTTTCGAATTCGTCTCACTATAACCGCTGCTCTAGACTGTGTCTGCTTCTCCAGCCACTGCTTGTAGGAGCCAAAGGTGCTCGGCCGGTTATCTGCTGAAACTGTGTGCTGATGGCGAAGCTTGAACGTGAATACTGAACCTTCCTGCACGGAGCCATAGCTAAACGGAAGAAAAGCAAGGACGCAGAGCAGCGGGAATAGCAAGCCACAGGAGCCCATGGTGACTCGAGGATGGCGAAGACCTCAGGAGGCGTGAGTGAACGGGACAAGCTACTGGCTGCTAAAATACTACAGCAGGGAGGTAGCCTTGACTGAGGACGGAATGACCTGAAAAGGGTACGATCGTTGAGGACGAATGGCAAAGTCGAGAAAACGCAGTTGATGCCTTACATTGAGCCCTTGCCTTTCTAGGCTCCTCGCGTCACAGATAAGAATGCGCGCTTCGGAAACCTGGGTCGTTCCAGGCTGGATTGAAGCAACTCGCTTGACGGAAACAGAGAAGCAAGGTCGTGATTGGTGAGGCGACGATTCAATCCATGGTAGAGGTAATTACTAGGAAGTGGAAATGGTAAAAGATCAGTGAGGGTGAGGAGGAATCCTCGGTGAACTCAATTGAGGAGCAGCAGTGTTGGCAGGCATGCAGGCAAATCAAAACTGAACGTGTAAGAGCTGCTTTCGTTACAAGCTACAGTTTGGCAGAATACATAGAACTGCTTCCAAATGCAATTCAGATGGGGAAACTGGAAAGAAACACCACAAGGCAGATGGCTCAGCAATGAAACAAGCTACTCTAGTTCTACGCAAGTGTTCGCGTGCTTTCCAGTCCACAACACACCCAGCCCATACACAGCAGCGCACCGCACCTCGTGCGACCTGCTTGATTCCTGCAGATCGCCGCAACTCGATCGTTTCATACGAGCCAGCGTTTTTCTATCCGTAGCTTTTGTAAGCCAGAGATGAAGCGGTTGACAGCAGGTGGCAGCGCAGGCAGCAGCAGCGGCAGCGTGAGCACGAGCGGAGACCCCCGGAGACCAGACGCGGTTAAGAAGTATGTGCCGCCGGTGGTGAATGCGGAGGACCTGCCGATCGACATGGCGAGCATGATGGCAATCTTCTTCGGGATCGCCGGCGTCATGATGCGGGTGAGCGAAGAAGTGCCGTTTTTATTCGAATCCTGATTGGTGTTGATGCTACGGGCATGCTTGATGAGGAGCTACACGTTCTTCGGGATCGCCGGCGTCATGATGCGGGTGAGCGGAGAGGGGTCGGTGTTCTTAGATCCTGATTGATGATGTCGGCGTGGGAAGCGGAATGTGTCTAACGTGGAGATGAAACTTCGGGATCGCCGGTGTCATGATGCGGGTGAGCGGAGAGGGCTAAGTTCTCTTAGATCCTGATTGATGATGTCGGTGTGGGAATGGTTCGGAAGAGGTGCAGAAATATTGGGGTCGCCGGCGTTATGATGCGGGTGAGCGGCAACGGCTGGTTGTTTCCAAGATCCCTTTTGATATTGTTGGCGTTGGGGATGCTTTGAGGAGGAGCCTAAACATTCATCGGGATGCACGTGGTGATGCGAGTGAGCGGAAAGGGCTCGGAGTTTCAGGATCGTTATTAGATGTCGGTGTGCGGGGGTGAATGGGTGCTTTGAGGAGGCGGCGTAACAATGGGTGAGAGGAGAGAGGCAGGGAACGTCTCAGCGAACGGACTTTGTTGCTATATGCATGACATGACAAGACGAATTGAAGACGATCGGAGATCTTTTTAAGTACTGGTTCTGATTCAGCTACCCGTTCTTGCTTTGGCCGTTTTCTCTTCCCCTCTTCCACTCCTTGGTCCAATCGTGTTCTTCCCGCTCACAAGCATCCGCTCTCATCCTTCTCCCATCTGTCTTACTCTATTTTCTCCATGCAGCAAAAGCTTGCCTGCTGGCTGGCACTTCTTTGCGCAGCACAAGCTCTGGCAAACATGAAATATGTGGAGCATGATCTAAAGCAAATAATTACTGCGCTCAGGTAAGGATCGCTACCCCAGCTTATCCTGCATTTTCTGTGCATACGTTCTAGAAGGCTGAGCTGTTTCTTGTTATCATGTCCCGGCTGGGAGGACCTTGTCTTCTGTTCTGCTCCTTCAATTTTCTTTCTGTGACTCTCATTCCTTGCCTTGAGCTCCTAGTTTTTGTTCACTGTGCACATTTCATAAACCCACTTGTCATATGCGGATCTCTTATGCTTCCCTACGCTGTCTTCCACTTTACTTGGCTGCAGTTTCGCGGTTATGGGCATCGTGACAAATTATTTTGCACCAGTGCCGGTACACCCTGATGCAATAGCAGCAGGCCAACAAGGCTGACTGGGATTTTCCTTTGCATATTTGTAATTCACGTGTGTGTAATATATGGGCCCCTTATCAAAAAGTTTGCATGAAGATTGTCACCAGCTTGTGATGTTTATACTGACAAAACTCCAGGCTTAGTGTATGCGTGATCAGATAGACTTGTGATGTTTAGTACTATATTCATATCAGATTGACAATATGGGAGTCTGCCTGATAAGCTCGGCAACAGCCTCGGCTACTGCCGAAGCATGTAATGTCAATTCATTGCAATTGCTGGTTGCCCTGGAAAAGGCTTTTATAACCTGGCCAAAAAAGAAACCCGTCCGGGGACTGGTCCCAAAACTTTTATCACCTCTTTTTCGCTCCAAGAACCTCGACTTCCACAATCTCGCTGTACTCCACGTGTTTCCCCGTGTACTTCCAAATCGCATTGCCAGTTGGAACCTGGCTCTTAGGAGTTTTGCATTTCTTGCCCGATTATGGGACACATGCACAATCAGAAGCATTCCCTGCCTCTGCCGAAGCGAATTTCCGAGCCTGAGCAGCTTCTCTCGGGGTGACCCAACCTCCTCCTTCCACACCTCCCCGCATTTGAACCTTGAGCCCCTCACTTCAGCTTTCTGGTCCGACCTGAACCAGTTTCTCTGCATCAGCCCTTTTTCAGGATTTCCGAGGAGAGCTTGTTCCTGGAGAGCTTGCTTGTGAAAGTTGTCTTCAGTTGCTTCTCAGCATTTCAGAGGCTTGCTTCTGACTCCAGCTCTTGTATCAGTGCTTGCTCAGACTGGCAAGCAACTGAGCAAGACGACGGGATTTTCCTGCATTTTTTCTGATTCCCGTTCTCAGCTCCCCCGAGGGGACCATTCCGAGTCTGGCAAACTGGCATCAACGGCGTGTGAATTCGTGGGAGGGAGGTGGGTAGGGGAGGATAGACGTAGCATTAGTCGCTACACTAAGAGGAAGAAATAAGGTTAGTGATTTCGGGTGAATTCTCATGACAGGATTTTTCTGCTGTGTATCTACGCTGGCCGCCGTAGGCCTTCTGGTTAAAAAAAAAATCGAACGTGAAAAAAAAAGGTTCAGTTTTTTGTAAGTGACTGTGGCGAGTACCGTCTGAAAACAATCGGCAAGTCTTGCGCTTCTGACGCTTCAGATAAACGTTTTGGCGGAAATCCACATTTCCCTTTGCGCGATGCATCCTTCGATGGATATCGTCACTTCCGTGGCTTCGTGGCTGTTACGGACAGTGCAGCTGAAATCTGGACCTGATGGATCTGGTTCGGACAACTCAAAGAAGCTCGGTGACAGGCTTGGGGAATCCGAAGCGAGAAACGTCCTCTCCCTCGGTGATGTATCCGCGGTCGGGGATCTACCGACCAGAGAATTTACGGAATCGGAGCGGCTGCTTATAACGGATACGCAGGACTTCCTGAAATTTCTCCTGGACGGCTGTGATCGTCGAGACGAGGCATCTACGACTGGGAACGCGTCGGCCAGCTCCGTTGCTGGAAATGGGGAAGGAACAGTCGAGGGAGAGGAGAAGGGGAAGAGGACGCTGGAAGGAGGTGAGGAAGGCGATGTTGACGATGCCAGTGCCGAGGTAGGGATTGCACCCGGGAGACCCGAGAACAGCCACAAAGACAGACGCGAAGGCAACGCAGAGGAGGAAGGTAAGAAACGCGCAGCTGTTGACGCGAGGGTCGTCGAACTTGCTGTGACCGCAGTTGTGACAGTGCTGAAGGCAGTTGCTTTGGCGGAGATCCCTAATGCGCAGCTGGTGCAGAGGCTGCTGGACGTCGGTGTGCGAGCAACGCTCCACACAGAGACTGAAAAGCCGTCTTCTGCAGAGGGTGTATCCGCAGGGCTTGTTGGGGAACAGTTGTTGGCGCTGGTGGCTGGTGCTGTTGCTGTTCTGGATGAGATGGTGAAAAGAGAGGAGGGGCTAGATGCGTTGAATAAGGGAGTGGGTACTTTGCAAGAGGTGCCGCAGGAGGGGGTGGAAAGCGAAGCTGATGCTGGAAGAGGAGTAGGAGACGGAGAACATTCAGGAGTTGAGGTTCAGTTGGGGGTTGGTAACTGTAAAGAGACTGCTGTTGTGGGAGGAGCGGGCGGGGCGAGAGCGGAAGTTCTACACGTGCTGCTGTCGTTCCTGTCTCTTGTCCTGTCCGCCTGTAGGGGTAGTGGTGGTCTGGGAAGAGGAGGGAGTGTTCTGGAAGAAGAAGAAGAGACAGGGAGGTTTGAGTTAAGAGATGAGGAATTGGGGGAGGGGATGGGTGAGGAGGGGATAGAGGATGAAGACCAAGCAGAGGAAGAGAACGAGAAAGAGGAGGGGGAGGAGGAGGAGGAGAACGAGGAGGAAGACGAGGATTCAGAGAAGGAAGAGGGCGACGACGAGGAGGAGGAAGAGGAGGAGGAGAAAGAGGAGAAGGGAAAGGTGGTTGACGATGCAGAAAAACCAGATGGTGGAGAGGACGGGTGGTCCGATGAAGAGCTCGAGATTCGCTTCCTCAACACCCCTGCAGACTCCATCAGGACCTCCTGCTCCTGCTCATCACTCCCCACGGCATCTGGATCAGCAGCAGGAGCAGCAGCAGGAACAGGAGCAGCAGGGGGAGCTGGAGCAGCAGGAGCGCCAGGGTGGTTGTCTGAGACAGATTTATCCGCGCAAGCAGCAGCAGAGGCAGACGAGGAGAGGGCTGTGGCGTCCCGCGTGTGTTCGTTCGTGGTGAGTGGCAGCAACTTCATGGAGCAGCACTGGTACCTCTGCTACACCTGCGACCTCACAGTCTCCCGCGGATGCTGCTCCGTCTGCGCTGCCGTGTGCCACAAGGGCCATAAGCTCGTGTACTCGCGCTTCTCCAGGTTCTTCTGTGATTGTGGTGCGACGGGGCCGGCTCCCCCGTCTAGCGCCCCTCCTGCCGCTTACACAAGTAGTTCCCTGTCAGAACCTGCTAGGCGCACTGCTGCTGGTAGTGCTGCTGCTTCGGACGCTACGGGCTTGCCGAACCAGGGGGCTTTTAGTCAGTCGGCGACAGGTTCGGGGTCTTCTCCAGCTGCGGTTTGGGAGAGGTTCCGGCGCAGGAGGTCCGGAACAGGCTTGGCGCGGCAGGGGGAGGTTTCAAGGGGAGCGGGGAGAGGGGAAGCCAGTGGGGGGAGTGGGGCAGGCGGGGATGAAAGCGTTTTCAAGGGCTGCTTTGCACTGAAGCCCCGTCCCGTGGGGTCAGGAAAACAGGCAGCGGCAACAGGAGGGATAGGGAGAGGAGAGGGCGGAGTGGCTTGGCCAGGAGGCACGTTCGGATGGCCTGGTGGGTACAGGAACGGAGGGAAGGATCAAGGTGGTGGTGGTGGGGGAGGAGGAGTGGGAGGAGGTAAAGGAGGGAGTTCTGAAGTTGAAGCGGATTGGTTGGTGGGAGTGGAGGCGTTTTTGAGCCAATCAGAGCATCTGTGTTGGGAAGGGCTGTTGAGGAAGGAGAAACGGAATGGAGGGGGAGTACTGAGGTTGCAGGAGGGCTTGTGGAGCGAAGAGGTTGTGAGAGGGCTCAGGGGGGCTCTGTCAGGGAAGGCGTGGGGGGAAGAAGGTGCGGAGGAGAAGACAGAGGAGGAGGAGAAGGAACAGGAGGATGTTAGTGAAGCTGGGCGAAGTGGAGAAGCTGGAGTGAAGGATGGTGAGAAAGAGAAGCGTCATGAGGAGACGCTGATCGACAGTGGAGTGGGCGTGAACGGGGACGTTGCAGCAGCAACTGTAGCAGCAACAGTAGAAGCTCCGGGAGCAGCAACATCAGCGATAATAGCAGCACGAGGAGGAGCAGCAGCAGCAGCAGTGACCCGGGCGTTGGTTATCAGAGAGCTAAGTCGGCAGCAGGTGGTGGATACCATCTGCCAGCTGGCGCGCAGGCATTGGCTGAGACGCAAGGCACTGGCGAGAGAGAGGGTTGTTCGGGCGAGGAGGGGAAAGAGCAGAGTGAGGTTGGGGGAGGGAGGGGGTGGGGAGGGGGAGGACGGACTTGGTGAGGAGGGGAAGGAGGCGGTGGTGGTGGGCGAGAAGGGGGAGATGGAAGGGGAAAAGGCCGAGGTGAAAGGGGAAGCGGAGGTGGTGGAGGGAGGGGAAAAGATGGAGTTTAAAGTGGAAGGGGAAGGGTTGGAGGTGGTCGAGAGTGTGGTGAAGGTGAAGGGAGGAGGTCAGGCAAAGGAGAAAGAAGAAGGTGAGGTGAGGGAGGGGGACGAAGGAGAAGCAAAGAGGGAGGTGGAGGACGGGCAAGATGGGGTGAGTGAGGGAGTCAAGGAAGGGAAGGAGAAGTCAGGGCGTGCAAATGAGGAGCCGTCTGAGAGCAAAGAATCAGGGGCAGAAGGCTCGACTCTGCAAGGCGAGAGCAGTGGGACGGAGGCAGAGGTTGAAGCAAGCTCAGAAGGGAGCGGAGCAGGTGAGGGCAGGCAGGGGACTGTGGTGGCAGAGGTAGTTGTAGCGGCGCCAGAGGCTCCTCCCGCCCTGCCAGCAGCGCTGCTGCCAGTGGAGCAAGCAGACTTAGGCAGACCTCTGCGCATGTACCCGGCTGGTTCCTTCCCTCTGCCCCCGCCTGCTCCTGTAGCAGGCGAAACAGGAGCAACAGGTGCGGCAGGAGCGACAGGAGCAGCGAATGTAGCAGGCTCAAGAGGTGTGGCAGATGTAGCAGATGCGGCAGGGGTTGGGATAGGTGGAGCAGGAGCAGCAGCAGGGCCGCCGTCACTCTTGACAATCAGCTTAGGGGGGAAGGTGGCAATGGGGGCAGGGTCGACTGTGAGGCTGTGGGAGGCGGATGATATAGTCCCTCGCACTGCTGCCAGTACAGGCGCACATCATAGAGGGGATAATGACCACGCTGCTGCTGCCGCCGCTGCCGCTGCTGCTGAGCTGGCGCCGATAACTTCTGACGTGGCACCTGTACCTTCGGTGGAGGAGGCAGCAGCACCGAGGGAGATAGGGGAGGTGGACGTGGGGTACCCCGTGCACATGCTCGCCTTCCACCCCACCGTTGACTCGCTGCTGGCAGTCGCAGGGACGAACCAGGTCGAGGTAAGTCAGTTTCCTCTATTACTCTGGTTAGTTCAAGGCAGTAGCATCGGACCACCGGTGGGGTGGGGATAGGGGAGGTGGATTTGGGGGTACCCCGTGCACATGCTGGCCTTCCACCCCACTGTCGACTCGCTGCTCGCAATTGCAGGGACCAACCAGGTCGAGGTAAGATTGTTCCTCATGATCCTTGAGCCAAATGCAGCAAAAAAAAAAAAAACGAAAAGAAAGAAACCGACAATGATCTACGTAAGGTTGTTAGCAGTCTGTTTGTTTACTGAAGATTGCACGCTTGTCACTCGCTCCCCGCCGTTTCTTCTCTCTTCTTTCCCCCAACCCCTCTCTCCCGCACCTCTTCCTCCCGTCCCCTCCCCTGCCCTTCCTCCCGTCTCAGGTGCTAGTGTTGGATGACGATTACTCACCCTCTCTCCACGGCTAGCCTACCTTCTGCTCTCTTCTTATCCCTGCTCTCCCCTTCTCCTCTCCTTTCCTTCCCCTATTCCACCTCCTTCCCCCGCTTCAGGTGTGCTAGTCCTGGATTATGATTGCACTCTCGTCACTTGCTCCCTTGTGAAGCTGCATGCCGCTACCGCCTCATACCCGCCTCGTCTCCGTCCCTCTTCCTTCTCCTCCCCTTCTCCTCTCCACATCTTTCCTCTTTCCTTCAGGTGTTAGTGCTGGACGATGACTGCACGCTCGTCACTCGCTCCGCTGTGAACCTGCGCGCTGCTCTCCGCACTGCAAGGAAACACCGCCGGCCACACAGGCAGCAGCAGGAGCAGGCGGAGGAGCAGGAAGAGCACCCACAGGAGGAGGATGGGGAGGAGGCAGAGGAGGAGGATGAGGAGGAGGAGGAGGAGGAGGAGGACGAGGAGGAGGAGAAGGGTGATGGCGAAGCAGAAGCGGATGGGGCAGGCAAAGTAGTAATTCCAGAATCAGAAGTGGCTATAAAGAGGATGTGCTGGTTGCCCCTAGCAGGAGGCCCATTTCTGGAGGTGTGTGCGTTCAACTCACTCTTTCCGTCTTTGTGAAACTACCTTTTCTTCTGCACTTGGCATCCTCTCTCACCCTTCCCTAATGGAGCCAGAAACCCCGTTGACGTGATATACTCTCTCCTCTTTATCATCCCTCCCCATTTGAATCACTTTATCTTTCTCCTAAAGGTACGTCTGCTCGTGGCGACCCCCTCAGCAGCGCTCCTGTTCGCAGTGGCTGTGGGGTATGATGCTCAGCTGGTTGCCACCTTTCCAGCTCCCAGCGAGCCCACTCCCACCCAATCTCCTGGTGGCCACCCCCTCAGCAGCGCTTCTGTTTGCAGTGGCTGTGGGGTATGATGCCCAGCTGGTTGCCACCTTTCCAGCTCCCATCATCACACCTACTCCCCTCCAATCATCCCTTCCCTTCCCTTCCCTTCCCTTCCCTTCCCTCCCCTTCCCTTCCTTCCTCCCTGAATCTCCTTTCTTGCTGCAGGCTCGTCTGCTGGTGGCGACCCCGTCAGCGGCGCTCCTGTTTGCAGTGGCTGTGGGGTATGATGCTCAGCTGGTTGCCACTTTCCAGCTCCCTGCGAGCCAACCTTCAGGAGGAGGAGCGTCATATGCGCGGCAGGAGAAGGAGGGGGATGGGGAAGAGGGGGAGGAGGAGGGGGAGAAGGAGCGCGAGGGAGGAGGTAGGGTGGGAGAGGAGGAGATTGTGGATGTGTGTGTGGTGCAAAGGGAAGAGGAGGACGAAGATGAAGAGAGAGAGGGGCACGAGGATGGGGACGATGGGGATGAGGATGTTGGGCATGGGCATAGGGATGATGAGGAAGGTCCCCAGATGCAACTGACAGTTCTCACCAGCCAGGTGAGCAGTGTGTGTTTTTTGGGAATTCTAAAAAAACAGACTCACCAGCCAGGTGAGTAGTGTGTGCCTTTGTCCAGTAGGTTTGCCTTCCCTTCCAGTGTGCTAGTAATGTGTTACCCCTGAACTTATCTGCTTCCTCAGGTTCCGTTGCTCTTGTTGTGTATCTTCCCTGTCCTCTGTTTTTTCACTCTGAGTGAGGATCCGCTTGTTCCTTCTGTTTATACATTTGAGTCTTCAATAATTACTCAACGCATTCTTCCTTTTTGTTATGATATAGAGCTCACTCCTTTTCTTATTATCGTTGTCTTGTGTGACAGGCTTCACTGTACTACGCAACTATAGACGATGGCGAATCAGCTAATGAGGAGGATGAAGACGACAACCAGGAGGAGGACGATGACGATGATGACCAGGATGATTACGATGACGCAGAGAATGGATTTGATCTGTTCCTGTTCATGCCATGTCAGCACATCACATTGCGACACCTGTCACTCCGGCCATCAGGCTCGGACCTACCCTGGCAGCATCGAGCTCGGGCCGGCCTTCCCACTCAAGCTGCTTTGGAAGAAGCGAGGAAAACAGAAGGAGGAGGAGGTGGAGGAGGAGAAGGAGGAAGTGGTGTAGCTTTGGGTGAGGGCGGAGGGGTTGTGGGAAGGAGGGGATCTGGGTTCCTGTGTCCGGTGGCAACCCATGAGGGGTTTCTCGCCTCTCCTGACGGCCGCCGCCTCTTCTTTGCTCGCCTCACACTCTCTGGTCAGGTGAGCTACTTTGAGACGTCTAAAAACTCGTCTTTTGACAAGGGAATCTGGGTTTTTGTGCCTGGTGGCAACGCATGAGGGGTTCCTCGCCTCTCCTGACGGCCGCCGCCTCTTCTTTGCTCGCCTCACACTCTCTGGTCAGGTGAGCTTCAGCAGAGCGCGCATTGTTGACACTTTCAGGAAGGCTCAGTGAAGGGAGGCCCTCTTCCTTAACGCTCGCTTGGTGAAAGAGCAAGGGGAGGAGGAGTTTTTGCCTGCTGTCTTCTTCCTTGTTACCCAATGTCCCCTAAATCTATCCATCTCCCTGGCTGCTTCCCTATGGCAGGCAATATCGCTGCTGCAGGAGATTTCATTCATCAGCCAGGGACCACGCGCACCACCCGCACCAACTGACGAGGTGGTTCGGGCTCGGGAGCCAGCTTCGGAAGTTTTCCGAGCCTGGGAAGCAGGCATTATGCAGTGGGAGGTTGTGTCTGGGAGAAACAGGGAGAGAAGCAGAGGCAGCCGCAGGGGCAGGGGCAGGGACAGCTTTAGCTTCAGAAGCAGCAGTGGCGGCAGTGGCACCAGTGGTGGCAGCAGCAGCAGCAGCAGCAGTTACTGTGGAAGCGCTGTGGTGATGAGTGAGGGAAACAGCTGCAGGGTGTTGCTGGCGTCTGGGCCCTTGGAGCATCTCACCAGGGGCTTCCCATGCTTCTCCCATGCTCTGGTCTGTAACGCTGCGGCTGGTAACCCTTTTGGTGGTAACCAGGTTGGTGGTAACCAACCTGGTTGTATTGTGGGCGTGGCAGCATGTCGAGCTAGTAAGGAGAGGGAGGGTAGTGAGACAGAAGAAGAGGAGGAAGAGGAGGAGGAGGAGTACGAGGAGGAAGAGGAGGATATGCAAGAGGAGGAGCAGAGGGAGGGTGAAAGCGAGAGTGGGAGGGTTCAGGCTCAGGAGATTGGTCAGGTGGATGGGGATAACCGTGTGGTGCTGCTGTATCAGGATGGTTCTCTAGTGGTGCTCGGCACTCATCCTCCCTCTCCCTCCTCTCACACCGCATCCGCACCTTCCCTCACTGCACCGCAAACCTCTTCCTCCTTTAGAGCAGACCAATCTGTTGCTGCTGATACGCCTACCTCTCACCCTGCCTCAGCTGCCGTTTCTGCATCTGTGCTGGTTCCTCCAGTGCCTGCATCTCACCCTAGTGCCGTTGCTTCTGACGCCCCTGCTAGCATCCCTACCAGCACCTCTGCTTCTGCTGCTGATGTTGCAGCCCCAAGTGCTGCTGGCAGCACTGCTGATACAGCTGCTACAGCCACGGCTGCTGGCCAACCAGGAGCGCCTGCCACACCCACGTCTTCTGCTACAGCTGCATCAGCTGCTGCTGCTACAGCCGCCCCCACCAGTGCTCCTCCGACCCGTCGCCCGCCCCTCCCCCCACCTCCCCCTGCACCCCCCTGCAAGCCTGTTTCTCCAGAGGAGGAGGTACAAATGGCAGTGAGCACTCTGCTCTGTATTGTGGATAAAGGAGGGGCACGCAGCAAAACAGATGCCCCAGTAGCAGCAGCAGCAGCAGCAGCTTCAGGGGGAGCAACAGGAACGGGTTCATCTGGGGCAGGTTTATCTGCAGGGCAGCTTTCCAGGCCGTTCCCAGCTGTGCCCTTGGATCTGATTGGCCGCCGGAAGCCGCCGGGGTGGACTCCTAGTTTCCCCCACGATTTCTTTGAGCATACGGTGTGTGTTACCCCAGAAGTGCGGTTCTCAGTGCAAGGCGTGAGAGGGAGCAGGAGTGGCGGAGGTGGGGGGAGTGGTGGGAGCAGCGGCAGCAGGAGTGGGAGTGGGAGTGGGAGTGGTAGTGCTGGTGGTGGTGGGAGGAGTGCTGGTGGTGCTTCAGGGTCTGCTGCTGACGTGGCAGGGATGAGTGACATGGACAGTGAAACCGTGCTGCATAATCTCATGGCCGAGGACGGCTTCTTGGAAGCTTCCTCCTCAAAGGGTTTCAAGGTGCGTACTTTCTCTGTGCTTTCGTTCGTCCCCAGCCTTTGTGAAAGTCTCCCTCTTCTTCTTCCACTGCTCGTTCCTCTTTCCCCAAGTGACTGCGATCAAGTCACACTCGTGCTGCCTCCTCTCCCTTTCGTTTCTGCTCCTTTTCCGTTGCCAGATCACCGTAACCAATACCAACTCCAGCCTTCTTCTCGTGGGAATCCCCATCCTCGTGGGGATCTCCCCCTCCTCGCACACCCCCTCCTCCCTCTCCCTCTTCCTTTGCTCTCCTTCCCCAAGTGACTGAATTCCTTACCCACTCGTGCTGCCTTCCCTCATTTTTCTTCCCTATCCCCCCTTTCCCGTTTATGTTCCCAGATCACCATAAACAACACCAATTTCAGTCTTCTCCTAGTGGGAATCCGCGTCCTAGTGGGAATATCTCCCTCCTCGCACACCCCCTCCTCCCTCTCCCTCTTCCACCGCTCCCTCCCCCTCGACCGCTCCTCCCGCCGCTGGTACGATCTCCCGTTCACTCCCGCCGAATCCCTGCTGGCAGACCGCCACGTCAGCATCCACGTGGGCCCCGCTTTTGGGGGTAATGCGCGCGCCAGGGTGGATGGGTTGGAGGTGTATGGGCGGGGGAAGGAGGAGTTTGGGTGGGGAAAGGTGAAGGGGAAGGTGTTGGGGTGGTGGCGGGAGTGGAAAAGGGTTGTGGAAGAGGAGGGGAGGAGGGCGAGGGAGAGGGAGAGGGAGGTGGAGGGAAGGGAAAGGGAAGGGAAGGAAGGGGAGAGGAGGGAGGGGGAGGGGGTGGAGAGGGGGAGGGGGAACGGGGAGGAGAGGGGAGATGGAGGGGAGGGTTTGAGTGTGGAGGAGGAGAGAGAGGAACGAGTGGTTGGGGATGCTTTGGCAGTGCTGACTGGGCTTGTGAGTGGTGTTACTGTGGAGGGCAGGCAGCAGGGAGAGCAGCACGCAGAGCAGGAGCGACAGGCAGAGCAGCAGGCAGAAGATGGACAGAAGGGAGATAAGGAGGCACAGGTGGAGGGGCAGGAAGGGAAGGTGGATCTGGGGAAGGTGCAGCTGCTGGGGGAGGATTTGCTGAAGGAACTGCTTCAGGAGGTGTTGAGAGGAGGCCCAGAAGAAGAGGAGGAGAAGGAGGAAGAGGAGGAGAAGGAGGAAGAGGAGGAGAAGGAGGAAGAGGAGGAGAAGGAGGAAGAGGAGGAGAAGGAGGAAGAGGAGGAGAAGGAGGAAGAGGGGGTGGGCAGCCCCCTGAGAGGTGGTGGTGCTGCAGAGTTGCTGCTGGGCTTGTGCCGATCGCTGCATCCATCGCAGTCTGATTTTGTCAAGGTATTCCGGCAAACTCTGTTTTGTCTTGTGAGAGGTGGTGGTGGTTCTGCGGGAGAAGGGTCCATGGCAGAGTTGCTGCTGGTCTTGTGCCGATCACTGCGTCCATCGCAGGCTGATTTCGTCCAGGTATGTTTGGCCTATTTGAGGCGCCTCGCGGTATGTTTGGCCTATTTTGAGGCGCCTCGCGGTATGTTTGGCCTATTTTGAGGCGCCTCAAAATACACCTCAATGCACGCGGTATGTTTGGCCTATAAGTTGGTGAATAGATAGAAACTAGGAGCTGGTGCCCAAAGCTGACATGCCACTTCGTTCCTCCTGCGGATGTTACGAAGAGTCAGTTCCTCCACAGGCACAAAGATTCAGCTCCTGCCTCTTCCTCCTGCGGGAGTATGGGAGGCGTGGCGCACGTTGCACTGCTGCGACCATCCAGCCAGCATGTGCCTCTTCCCTTAGAAGCTCTTCACAACCTTCCTCTCCCGTCCCACCCCCCGTCCCACCTCCCATACTTCATCTGTTACAGGCCTGCGACTCAACAGAGCTGTCTCTCGCCTTGAAGACACAGCCCAACCATCGGGCATGTGCTCTTCAGAGGCACATGGACGCTTTCGCTCACATCGCACTGCTGCGACCCTCCAGCCTCCGCCACTTCCTCTCCGCCACACCCACTACAGGCGCTTCAAGCGCCGCTCCCCTAGAAGACCTGCATAACCGCCTTCTCTCGGTGCTTCAGGGTCCAGACGAGAGTGCTGCAGATGGGACAGAAGAGAGGGGCGATGACAAGGGTGCAGGCAGCAAGGGGATGGGTGGCAAAGATACAGGTGGCAAGGGGGTGGGGGAAACGGATGCAGATGGGAAGGGTGTGGGGGGGAAAGGAAAGGATGGTGGAGATGGCAAGGGGATGGAGAGAACGGATGCAAGTTGCAACGAGGGGGCTGATCGGGTTTCTGAAGGGGTGAAGCAAGCGCTGGTGGCCTCATACGTCCGACTGCTGGTTGGTGTAGCAGGCAGTCTGCTACTCCCAGCTGAACCCACTGGAGCTGCTGCTTCAGCTGCTGCTCCGACTGCCCCTCCCACTGCTGCTTCTTCCACAGCTGATGCTGCTTCTCCTGCTTCTGTGCCTGCTGCTGAATCCGGAGTGACGATGCAGTGGGTGGTTACCAGGTTACAGGGCCTCCTCCTTTCGTCTGATCCTGCTGTTGCAGAGGCGTGCTGGTATGTCCCACACACCATTCTTGTCATCTATTTGTGTTTTGAGTCGACTCAAAACACGCCTACACACCATTCTTGTCTTCTATTTCCTCTTGTAACCACTTGTAAGCTCCTCTTGTAAGCCGTGTGCACCTGTTTTTGAGGCGCCTTTTGAGGAGCCTCAAAAACCATCTATTTCCTTACAAACCACTTGTGTAAGCTCCTCTTGTAAACCGTGTGCACCTGCGATCCATTTTCATGTCTTCGTATCAAATACCCACCCCCCCATTGCGTCAAGCACGCATTGCCTTGCCAGATCAAGACCCACCCTGGACATTCTGTGCTCACCACGCGTTGCGCTCCCCTCTCTGTCTTTGCGTCTCTCCCTGCGTCAACTTGTGTCAACCACAGGATGGCTCTCTGTGCTCTCTTCCTGCCGCCGCCTCCTCTCCCGTCGCCGCCGCCACTGGCCTCCCCCCAGCCGTCCATGCAGCATGGAACAGCAGCAACCAACGTGGTTGACACAAGCAGCAACCAGGGAGCAGCAGCAGGAGCAGCAGCAGCAGCAGCAGCAGGAGGAGGAGGAGCACCCCAAAGCTTCACATCAGACAGTGCCAATGTTTCTGGTGTCAACACTGGGTTTGGCGCAGATGGCGCTGCTCTTGGTGCTACAGCTGGAACTGCTGGTTTTGGGTCCTATGTGGAGAGCGGGGTGGTGGAGGGGGGGGGCTCAGCAGAAGACATGGACATAGACCAATCGGACATGACTCACGGGTTTGGGCATGAGTTCGATCAGAACATAGACCCGCAGCTGTCGGTGGTGCAGTTCTGCTGTGATTCCTGCGGCGTGTGCCCCATCCAGGACGTGCGATGGCACTGCCTCGTGTGTGACGATTTCGACCTCTGTAACGAGTGCCACCAAGCCGTTTCCGCTGCTGCTTCTGCTGGCTCCCCTGCTGCTGTTACTGCAGCTGCTGCTGTCGCTGGTGCTGCTGCTGATGCTGGTTCTGCTGCGTCTCTCTTCCCCTTCAGCTCGCACAGCATCTCACACCCCATGGTCTCCATTCCCATCGATCCTGCAGCAGATGGCATGGGGGAGGAAGGAGGAGTGGAGGGGCTTATGGATAGGCTTGGGTACGGGTTTGGTGGGGAGTCTGGTGAGAATGGTAATGCTGCTGAGGATGGTACCGCTGGTGCTGAGTATGGTACTGGGTTGGATCCTGGTGGGTCAATCGGTGGCTCAGGGATTGGGGAACCAGGGGTAGAAGCACATAGCGAGATGGAACAGCAGGAGCAGCAGGGGGCCTATGGGACTGATGGGACGGACAAGAGGGAAAACACAGGGAATATGGTGAAGGATGGAGAGGAGGAGGAGGAGGAGGAGGAGAAAACGAAGCAGGAGAAGGCGAGGTGGGAGGAGGTGAGGATGTGTATGAACCACGTGGGATGGGAGGTGCTGCAGCAGCTGCTCTCCTCCTTCTCCCCTGGATGGTCCCTCCCGCCCCAACCCACTCTCACCCCCCCCTCCTCTGATCGCTCCCCTCCCATGCCACTGCTGCAGCTGCTCTTGCGCGTAACAGGAGCAGGGGCAGCAGGGGTGGGGCCTATGGGGGTTGCTATGCCAAGTGTAGGTTCTATTGAGAAGGAGAGGAAGGAGAAGAACGGAGGGGCAAGGAAGAGGAAGGAGAAGGAAACGGGTGACCTGGAATCGCCTGGAGCCCGGCTACTGACGTGGACGCTGACGTGGCTGGTTGATGAGCTGGAGCACAGCTGGCGCCAGTTGTCCGGAGCGAGGGAAGGGCGTGTGGATGCCGGTGCTGGTGGTGTTAGTGCTGACATGGCAGCTTTGACCTGCCTCTTGGAGTTCCTTGTGCTGCTCTTCCGTACCTTGCAGTGCCGTTTACAACCGCAGCAGCGGCAGCAGCAGGAGCGGGAGCAACAACAGCAACATGGTTCCAAGTTCGGGTTACACCTCCTTCTCAGCCGCTCTTCATGCTCCGCTGCCAGCAGGCTCCTCGCCCTCCTCCACTCCGTTGTTTCCTCCTGCCACCCACACGCCCCACTCGCCGACACATCTAGTTCCACCGAGACTAACCCCTCTGGGGTTGGAGGGAAGGGGAGAGAGGAGCTGCTGCAGTGGGCGCTGTGCCTTGCTGCTGAGGTGGCACCCGTATGCCTAACAGAGAAAGGTGTACCGATTGAGGAGGAATTTGTGAGCGAGAAGGGATTGGAGTGGGCATGGCAGCCACTGCTGTGTGCGTACCTGCAGAGAGGTGCTTTAGAGGGAGCTTTGGCTCAGCCCAAGGAACAGGAGCGGACCAAAGAGGGCGCGGTTATTGCCCAGGTAGATCTGGGACGGTTTGGAGCGGTTGAGAGTGGTGGGAATGGTGGTGCTGGGGGTGGTGATGGCGGAAAGCCGCGGGAGGAGGGAGGGGGTGGAGCAGGAGGGATGGGAGGGAGAGAAGGGAAGTATGTGCGGCAACTGTTGCTGCTGTCCTGCGGAGGGAATGAGAGGGAGTGTGTGAGGATGCAGCGAGTGTGTAAGCTTGCTGCATACATGCATGGCCTTCACTCCTGTCTCCACCCTTACCTCCCTCTTCCCGCCTCCTCTCCCCACCTCCCATCCCCCTCCTCTCAACACCTCCCAACCCCCTCCTCCTCTCCTCACCTCCCATCCCCCATCCCTCCACCTCCTCCCTACTCCATCAAAGTCCAATCCCTCCTGCTCCTCAACGCCACCGTCCACGTGGCACAATCTCAGCCGTCCACGTGGCGCTGGTACTGCGCAGGCAAGGACACGTCAGCGCTACAGCTGCTGGCGGCTGTAGCGGCCGCTACATCCTCCCCCCGCTGGGCCACAGAGGATGAACCCCTCGCTGTGTGCGCGCTACAGCTGGTGGCCCTGGCGTTTGACTGTGATAGCAGCGGCAGTAATGGTAGCAGCAGCAGCAATGCAAGCAGGGGTGAAGGCAGGGGTAGCAGGAGGAGAAGGAAAAGAGAGGGGTTTGGTGCGGTTGATATGGGTGCACAAGCAGCTGCTCTGTTTGGCCTCTTATCAGAGTCACAGCAGCAGTTAGAGCAGGCCGCGAGGCAGGAGGGGCAGGGGCAGGAGGAGGCAAGGAAGGAAAGTAGCAGCAGTGATGGCGCTGCCAGTGAAAGTAGTAGCATTGTTCAGTTCATCTCATCCTTTGTGCTCTCCGCTGCCTCTGCCAGGCTGCGATCCCAGGGATGCATGGTGATGCAGGTATGTGTGCCTGCTCTGCTCTGCTCTCCTCTGCTGCGCATGCTGATGATGCAACCGTCAGGTTTGCTACTGTTGAAGTATCCCTTCCTCACCACCATTTTTCCCCTGTCTCCCTCCCCCTCTCTTGCAACCCCACCCACCCCCCCTCCCCACCCCCTCGGCCCTCTCCTTATGATTTGAATTCCAGAGACTGTAGCATCATGCCATCTTTTCTCTCCTCCATTTTTTGTTCTGTTGCCTGATTTCTAACTCCTTTATCCACCTTTCCCCTTCCCTTCTCCCATCTCCCCTCTTATCCCAACTGCAGGGATTGTGGAATCACGCCTCTCCATCTCTCCGCAACTCCATCCTCTCCTCCCTCTTCGCCATTCTCCCACACACACCTTCCCTTGGCTCCCACGCCCTCAGCTTCTCCCGCCTCCTCTCTCTTTTCTTGAACTGCAGGGAACGTGGTATCATGTGCTCCCGTTTTGAGTGCTTCACATGTTAACCGCTTCTCTCCTTCCTTTCTCCCTGTCTCCCCTCTTCCCAAACTGCAGGGATTGTGGAATCACGCTACCCCATCTCTCCGCAACTCCATTCTCTCCTCCCTCCTCGCCATCCTCCCACACACCCCGTCTCTCGGCTCCCGCGCCCTCAGCTTCTCCCGCCTCCTCCTCTCGCTCCTCGCTGACCTGGCGTCCAGTCAGCAGCCAGCTGGCACCGCTGACGTGGCAACACGGGCCGCAGCCGTGCTGCTGACGCAGCTGGCGCAACAGAGTCAAGCGGTGGCCAACCATCCGAGCTCATCACTCAACTCTGCCTTGCATAGACTGCTGGGCCCTGAGAGTGAGGGAACAAGTGCTGCTGCTGCTGCTGGTACTGCTAGTGGGGGCAGTGGTGCTGGTAGTGGTGGGGGTAGTGGTGCTGGCAGTGGCGGTAGGTCAGGTGCAGCAGGAACAGAAGCAGCAGGAGGAGCAGGAGCAGGAGGAGGGGGAAGAGGAGGAGGAGGAGGCAGGGGATCGGTGTGGGGGGAGGCAGATGGGGAGCCGTGTGCAGTGTGTGCGTATCCCGAGGCGGTGTGGGGGAGTGTGAGGATGGAGAGTGTGCGGCAGGAGGTGCGCTTCTCCGACTGCCGCATCTTCCTGCGCCTCACAGAGCCGCATCTCATCAAGGTGAGTGGCGTACCAGAGCTCAAAGGCGAACCGCAAAAGGCAGTGTGGGGAGAGTGTGAGGGCGCAGAGTGTGTTTTTTAGGCATTTTCAATTCCCCTCACACCCACCCCCTGTGTGGCCCCTCACAGCCACTCCTCGACCCCCTTCGTTCTTTCTCAGGGCTTCATCATGATGGTGCATGAGTCAAGAAAATGTGGCTCTGTGAATGACCTTCGGCTGCTGGCATTTCAATGTTCTCACACCCGCTCTTGACTCCTTTTGACTTCCCTTGACCCCCGTTGACTCCTTCAGGGTTTCACCATGACTGTGCATGACTCAAGAAGAGGCCGTTCCGTGAAGGACCTTCGGCTGCTGGGGAGCAACAGTGCTGCCTGTGACCTGCAGCAGATCAAGACCGCTACAGACGAGCTCTGCCGCCCGCTCGCCCGGTGCCAGCTGGCGGCCGACCAGCCTGAGATCCGCGTGGAGCTGCCTCTGCCTGTGGCTCTGCGCTTCATCGTCGTGGAATTCGCTTCCTTCCATGAGGCAAGTCTAGATGGGGTGTAGGGGTTTTGAGTCGACTCATTAGCCGCGATAGATAGAGTGGAGCTGCCCCTGCCTGTGGCGCTGCGCTTCATTGTTGTGGAATTTGCTTCCTTCCACGAGGTGAGTGAAGGGAGAGTGACTGACGGGTCGTTGCTTTGTTCCGTGCGTGATAGATTGCATCAATGTAGTCCAGTGGAGCTGCCTCTGCCCGTGGCGCTGCGCTTTGTCTTCGTAAAATTCCCTTCCTTCCACGCGGTAACTGTATTGTGGATTAGGGGTCGAACCTGCATCCTTTTGGTGAAGTAGAAAGGATATCCTTTTCGCCCTAGCCACCTCTGGGTCTGTACTGCAGAAGTTTCAAATCCATTCTCTAATTGTCTCAGAAGCCAAACGGTTGGTCAGTTGGCCCAAAGCCAGTGGACCTTCTCAAGGGCCCCTCCCTGATTCACAGCCTATCGATTCAATAAATAGCCCCTCCCTGTTCTCTCATTGTTCACCATAGGTAACCGAACCCCCCTCCCTCCATTTTTCTCCACCTCGTGAACCCCCTCGGCTCCACCAGAACCACCTGTCGACATCGTCCTCCCGCGAGTCGCTGCAGTGCCCGCGGTGTAACAGAGTGGTAACAAGCCGGCACGGCATGTGCGTGGTGTGCCATGAGAACGCCTTCCAGTGCCGCCAGTGCCGCTCCATCAACTACGACAACCTCCACGCCTTCCTCTGCCCGCAATGCGGCCACTGCAGGTGCATTTTTTGTCGCTATCAAGAATTTTGCATCCAAAGTTATTCAGTAACAAAAAAGAATAGGGTGCAAAAAGAAAGAAAGAAAGAAAGAAAGAAAGAAGAAGCATTAAAACTGTGTGTGCGTGTGTGTATCCGCATGGTAACCAGTTCGCACGGCGTAAGAATCACTAGATGCTCTAACGCCTGTTTTCCCAGATTTCCCTTCAAAAAATCACCTTGAAACAACCCCACCCCCAAACTCCCCCCCCCAAGCTTCACCCCTCTCCCGTTCGCCCCCCACATCCCTTCTCCCACATTCTCTCGAATCCCCTCAGGGTCTTGAGTCGACTCAAAAGCCTTTTCCTACCTTTACCCCCCTCCCCCCCTTCTCACCCCTTTAAAGGTACGGTCGGTTTGATTTCGCACTGCAAGCTCACCCTTGCCCTTCCTCCATCGACCCGATTATCTCCGAGGAAGCTTCCAAGAAGGTTGCAGCAGCACTGGAGGCCGAGGCTGGGTCAGCAACCCGGCTCCGTCAGCAGCTGCAGGCGCTGCGCCGGCCAATCGTGCGCCTCGTTTCGTCCATTATGGATGATGACGCAGCTGCTGACGTGTCAGCAGCTGACTTGCTGAATCCCGGCCCGATCTCAGCAGGAACAGCAGGAGGAGGGGCAGGAGGAGGAGCAGGAAGAGCAAGAGGAGCAGGGGGGGCAGGAGCAGGAGGGCTTAGCAGAGAGCGGGCAGTAGGAGGGCGATCTGGGCTGGAAGGTGGTGGGGGTCTGTCGTCCCTGCTGCAACTGGCAGCAGCAGCAGGTGGGGCGGGGGGCAGCGGTGCAGCAAGAGGAGGAGGGGGAGCAGGGGGAGGAGGGGGGGCAGGAGGAAGGGGAGGAGGCACGGGGGGTCTCGGGTCCGCATCATCCCTACTATCAGCCTTGCTGGGAGGCAGGCTAGGGGCAGGAAGAGGAGCAAGAGGCGGCGGGTCCGGGGCAGGAGGAGGAGGAGCGGCTGGAAGTGGGCTTCTGGATTTCAACCTGTTTGATGATCTGCTGGCTGCTGCTGCTGCTGGCCCTGGTGCTCATTCCGGTTCTGGTGGTCTGTTCAGTTCTGGTCTAGCCAGGGACACATCAGGGGGTTTAGGAGCATCAGGCATACCGGCAGCATCTGGAGCGTCAGGGAGAGCAGTGGGCGGAGGAACAGGCACAGAAGCAGCAGCAGCGTCGGCTGCAGCGGTGGCGGCAGCAGGAGAGGAAATGCTGCTGCAGCTGCTAGAAGCCTTCCCGCCCCTCTCTGCCGCTGGATCAGGTACTGGTAATTCGTCCAGCACTGGTACTGCTGGTGGTGGCGGCGGCGGCGATAGTACTGGTGGCGCCGGTGCTGCTGGTGCGGGTGGTGACGCTTCCCTGTTCTCCACCACCGGTGGCCTCCCTCTTTCTTCCGCATCTATCTCAGCAGCAACAGCAGCAGCCGCTCAGGCGCACGTGAGCCGTCGGATCTCGATCCTGGGCACGCTGTACGCTGACAAGTGTCGCGCCGTGCACCGCGGGCTGGCCACGTCAGCAGAGAGGATGGGCGCACTACAGATGGCCCTGGCTGAATACCACCTGCTGGTGGGGCAGCAGAGGAGAGCCCGCCGCAGGCAGCAGCACCTGCAGCTCCAGCTGCAGATGCATCAGCAACAGCAGGAGCAGCAGGAGAAGCAGTGGCGGCGGCAACAGCAAGGCTTTGGTTATGAGGACTCGAGCAGGGGACTGGGTAGCAGCGGCAGTGATGCCGGGGTGTGTTTGGACTGCAGCAGCACTTTTGTCGGGCTCTGCCTGCAGTGGCTCGAGGTGAGCAAGCAACAAGTGGAATTGGTTGAATTGGTTGAGGCAAGGCAGCTAGTTGTGTTGAGATGAGTCGATAGTTTACGCACAGCTAGTTACACAAAAATCGAGGCGGTTTTAGCACGAGCCTTAATTTTGAGTTTCACGAGTATTTTGGTTGCAGAATTCAGCTGATGTGTTTGTGTCTGTTCATTTATTCCCATCTCATCTCTGATGCGTTCCCCCTGCCCCCTCCCTCCCCCCTCTCCCTCCTTTCCCCCCTTTCCTCCACCCCTCCTGCAGGCACTCCTCCCCATCCCAGCAGCCCCCTCCGCCCTCCTCTCTCTCTCCGCCATCCCCACCATCTTCTCCTCCTCACTCCTCTCCGGCCCTCCCTCCTCTCGCTCCCGCGCCCGCCACCTCTTGACCCACCTCGCTCTCACCTCCCCCCTCGCCTCACACAACCTACTGGATCTAATCGAATCTAAGGTTTCTGCTGCAGTGGGCAGCTATCTGCTTGCTGATGTGGCGCCAGCTGTCAAGGACCCGTTGCTGCTCCTTGCTGACCTGTCTTCGTCCCCATCCGAGTCAGACCCGAGCTCATCAGAATCTGCCGTTTCGTCTCCTTCCATGAAGCTTCTTTGCCTGCAGCTGGCTACGCGTCTGTTCTTCCAAGCCCTCGCCACCACCCATCTGCACCCCTCTGTATCAGACCATGTGCTGCTGCCCACCCTCCGTATAGTCACCTCCTCTTGCAAGCACGCTACCTTAGAGGGGCCAGAGAGGCAGAATGGGGCAGATTCTCAGACAGGAGGAGAATATTCACAGAATGGGGACGAGATATCGAGGAGTGCAAATAGCAGTAGCAGTGGTACCAGTGGTACTCCTGAGGTTGACCCTTTGGCGCCCGCAGTTCGCAAGTTTGCCGCCCGCTGGCGTGATCGCATCCGTGAGCGCAGCGTCCTGGACGGCAGGCTTCGGCTGCTAGTGCGCTCTTTCGGCAGTTGGTGTTTCGGCAGCAAGCATCTCTTCGCCCAGCCTGGAAAAGATCACCTCCAAGGGAATCAAATATTTCTCACTGCAGATCTAATCGCCAGCTGTCGCTCGCCGCCCGGTCTCCGATTAGAGATCTGCGATCTGCTCGAGCTGCTGGCAGGGGTGGCCCCTTGTTACAATCACGCTGTGCTAGAATCACTGCTGACCCTCCTCCCTGCCACCACACACGCCGGCGAAGCCTCAGCAGAATACTTCTCGCTCCTCTCCCGCCTCCTCTCCTCTCCTCACCCTCCTGCCTCCAGCAGACCATCGCAAAACAGAACCGCATCCTCTTCCAATACATCCCTCCTTTCCACTCAGTTCCGTCCCTATTCGTACTCATCAGCAGCCCAGGGAAGCCTCTCCCCCCTCCGACCCCCTCCAGGCACAGCCGCTCGTGCTCTCCCCTCCTCCTCCTCCTCCTCGTCTCGTCCTGCTTCCACCCGTTCCTCCTCAAACCAACCCTCAGTAGACCAGCCGTCCGTGCAGCACTCCTCTCTGCTCTTCCTAGCAGCCCGAGGCGTCCTCCCTGCCCTCACCTCCTTCATTTCTCACTCCGTTGCCCAGCTGCAAGCACACGAGTCCCGGGCTATGGCACCACTGCTTGCTCCGTCCTCCTCCTTCTCGCTCCCGCCTTTCGCCGCTTCATCTGCTGTCTCTGCTGCCCCTGCTGCTGCGTCTGCCTCGGCGGCATATCCCATCCTGCAAGCCATTCGGCTGCTGCACCAGGCCGTGCAGCATCCCAAGCTGCTCAAGCTCTTCCTTCACTCAGCATACAGGCGCAGTGACAGGGGTGTTAACGCCAATACCAGCCAAGGCACCAGCAGCAGCAGCAACACCAGCAGCAGAAGCAGCAGCGCTAGCAGGTGTTTGGTGCAGGCAGTGCGAGCATTGGTAGGGCTGCAAGGGCTGGTGGTGACGAGAACTCAACTGGTGGTGGAGTGCCAGCAGCTGCTCTCCCTCCTGCTGCAGGGACTCGTGACGGAAGCCGAAGGGGAGAGAGCGGAAGGGATGGGGCGTGAGGAGAGGTGTGAGACGAGTGAGGGGAGGAGGAGAGCGTTTGTGGCGGCGTGTGTGGAGGTGCTAGGGGAACTGGTGGTGGCGGAGGAGGGAGAGGCGATGCACGATGCTGCGGCTTGTGATTCTTGGAGGGCAATAAGTGTGCGTATTGTTAGCTGCCTGTTTCCTGCTTGCGTGAGCGTGCCTGTTTTTCTTGTGTCTGTGCCTTTCTTCCCAAGCCGTGAGCATGCTCGTGGCTCTTCAGAATTCTCAGAAAAGCCTGCTTCTGCTGCGTTTCCTTCCCCCTTTCCTTCCCCCCCGTTTCTTCCCCCCTTCCCCTCCCCTCCAGTTCCGCCTCCGCCATCTCTGCAACACCATCTACCCCACACGGCGCGAGCCTGAATACGAGATGCTGCTCATCAAGCAGTGACACTCACGATGCATCCTACCTGCTCTCTTCCATTCCCCTACCTGCCTCTTCCCCTTCTCCTTCCCCTTTCCTTCCGTGCCCTCTTTTCTCCCCCTTCCCCTCCCCTCCAGTTCCTCCTCCGTCATCTCTGCAACACCATCTGCCCCACACGTCCCGAGCCCGAATACGAGATGCTGCTCATCAAGGCAGCAACACTCACGATGCACCCCACCTGCTATCTTCCTCTTCTCCTTCTTCCCCTTCCCTCCCGTGCCTTCGTGTCCCTTCTCCAGTTCCTTCTCCGGCATTTCTGCAACACCATCTGCCCCACACGCCCCGAGCCCGAATACGAGATGCTACTCATCAAGGCAGCGACACAGGAGGAGTTCCTCCCAGGGCGCCTGCAGCACAACCCCTACTCCTCCAAACAGGTGCGCTGACCGTCCGTCCATTCTCAGTCCAAGTCTGAGGCCTTCTCCCTCGCTGCTAGTTCTTGCGTTCCGCCTATTCCGCGTGCCCTGAGTCCAAGGTTACGAGATGGTGGTGGTGCTGTTCAAGGCAGCAACACAGGAGGAGTTCATTCCAGGCGCCTGCAGCACAACCGGTAATCCTCCTACCTACCTAACCTCCGACCTTCGCAGCCCACCTGTCCTCTCTTGACAGCACCGGTAATCCTCCTACCAGGCTCGCCGTTCGTCTGCCTGAGTGTTGAGCTGCATGGTCCGATGGACAACGACTGTGACATGGAGCTGCTGCTGCTGACACTGACAAAGATTATGACCTTATCCCACCCTCCTCTCCCACATGTGTGCATTCCAGGTTGGCTTTTCAATGAGGGATGTGAAGAATCTGATCTGCAAGAGTTGGAGCTGCATGGGCTGATGGACAACGACTATGGCATGGTGCTGCTGGTGGGGGGGACGATCTGCTGCCTGGGGCTCTCCGAGCAAATGACGACTTGTTACCTGCGTGTATCTCCCCTTCTTTTCCACTCCAGGTTGGCCCTCTAATGAGGGATGTGAAGAACCTCATCTGCAAGGAGCTGGAGCTGCTGGAGCTGCATGGGCTGATGGACGACGACTATGGCATGGCGGTGCTGGTGCTATCACTGGCACTGACAACGCTGATGGCCTTATTCCACCCTCTAAACCCGCTTGTGTGCATTCCAGGTCGGCCCTCTAATGAGAGACGTCAAGAATCTCATTTGTAAGGAGTTGGAACTGCACGGGCTGATGGACGATGATTATGGCATGGAGCTGCTGGTGGGAGGGCAGATTTGCTCCCTGGGGCTGTCCGTACGGGCGGTGTACGAGCAAGTGTGGAAGCAGAGGGGGGCAATGAGCGTTACCTTCAGGTTGCAGGTGAGCATGATGTTACGGTTGGGTGGTTACCAGGGTTTAGATGGGAAAATCTGCTCCTTAGGGCTGTCTGTGTGGGTGGTATATGGGCAAGTGTGGAGACAGAGGACCTATGAGCGTGAATTTCGGGTTATAGGTGAGTGGGATATGTGACCCACAAGGGGTTAGGTCCTAAGGCAGGGCAAATCTGCTCCCTGGGGCTGTCTGTACGAGCCGAACAAGTGTGGAGACAGAGAGGACCCATGAGCGTCACTCTCCGATTACAGGTGAGTGGAATGTAAATGAAGGAGATGGAATGTAAATGAAGGAGGGGGAATGTAAATGAAGGAGGGGGAATGTAAATGAAGGAGATGGAATGTAAATGAAGGAGATGGAATGTAAATGAAGGAGATGGAATGTAAATGAAGGAGGGGGAATGTAAATGAAGGAGATGGAATGTAAATGAAGGAGATGGAATGTAAATGAAGGAGATGGACTGTAAATGAAGGAGATGGAATGTAAATGAAGGAGATGGAATGTAAATGAAGGAGATGGAATGTAAATGAAGGAGATGGAATGTAAATGAAGGAGGGGGAATGTAAATGAAGGAGATGGAATGTAAATGAAGGAGATGGAATGTAAATGAAGGAGATGGAATGTAAATGAAGGAGATGGAATGTAAATGAAGGAGATGGAATGTAAATGAAGGAGATGGAATGTAAATGAAGGAGATGGAATGTAAATGAAGGAGGGGGAATGTAAATGAAGGAGATGGAATGTAAATGAAGGAGATGGAATGTAAATGAAGGAGATGGAATGTAAATGAAGGAGATGGAATGTAAATGAAGGAGGGGGAATGTAAATGAAGGAGGGGGAATGTAAATGAAGGAGATGGAATGTAAATGAAGGAGGGGGAATGTAAATGAAGGAGGGGGAATGTAAATGAAGGAGGGGGAATGTAAATGAAGGAGATGGAATGTAAATGAAGGAGATGGAATGTAAATGAAGGAGATGGAATGTAAATGAAGGAGGGGGAATGTAAATGAAGGAGATGGAATGTAAATGAAGGAGATGGAATGTAAATGAAGGAGATGGAATGTAAATGAAGGAGATGGAATGTAAATGAAGGAGATGGAATGTAAATGAAGGAGGGGGAATGTAAATGAAGGAGATGGAATGTAAATGAAGGAGATGGAATGTAAATGAAGGAGATGGAATGTAAATGAAGGAGGGGGGATGTAAATGAAGGAGATGGAATGTAAATGAAGGAGATGGAATGTAAATGAAGGAGATGGAATGTAAATGAAGGAGATGGAATGTAAATGAAGGAGATGGAATGTAAATGAAGGAGATGGAATGTAAATGAAGGAGATGGAATGTAAATGAAGGAGATGGAATGTAAATGAAGGAGATGGAATGTAAATGAAGGAGATGGAATGTAAATGAAGGAGATGGAATGTAAATGAAGGAGATGGAATGTAAATGAAGGAGATGGAATGTAAATGAAGGAGATGGAATGTAAATGAAGGAGATGGAATGTAAATGAAGGAGATGGAATGTAAATGAAGGAGATGGAATGTAAATGAAGGAGATGGAATGTAAATGAAGGAGATGGAATGTAAATGAAGGAGATGGAATGTAAATGAAGGAGATGGAATGTAAATGAAGGAGGGGGAATGTAAATGAAGGAGGGGGGATGTAAATGAAGGAGATGGAATGTAAATGAAGGAGGGGGAATGTAAATGAAGGAGGGGGAATGTAAATGAAGGAGATGGAATGTAAATGGAGATGGAATGTAAATGAAGGAGGGGGAATGTAAATGAAGGAGGGGGAATGTAAATGAAGGAGGGGGAATGTAAATGAAGGAGATGGAATGTAAATGAAGGAGATGGAATGTAAATGAAGGAGATGGAATGTAAATGAAGGAGGGGGAATGTAAATGAAGGAGATGGAATGTAAATGAAGGAGATGGAATGTAAATGAAGGAGATGGAATGTAAATGAAGGAGATGGAATGTAAATGAAGGAGATGGAATGTAAATGAAGGAGATGGAATGTAAATGAAGGAGATGGAATGTAAATGAAGGAGATGGAATTTAAATGAAGGAGGGGGAATGTAAATGAAGGAGATGGAATGTAAATGAAGGAGATGGAATGTAAATGAAGGAGATGGAATGTAAATGAAGGAGATGGAATGTAAATGAAGGAGATGGAATGTAAATGAAGGAGATGGAATGTAAATGAAGGAGATGGAATGTAAATGAAGGAGGGGAATGTAAATGAAGGAGGGGGAATGTAAATGAAGGAGATGGAATGTAAATGAAGGAGATGGAATGTAAATGAAGGAGGGGGAATGTAAATGAAGGAGATGGAATGTAAATGAAGGAGATGGAATGTAAATGAAGGAGATGGAATGTAAATGAAGGAGATGGAATGTAAATGAAGGAGGGGGAATGTACATGAAGGAGATGGAATGTAAATGAAGGAGATGGAATGTAAATGAAGGAGATGGAATGTAAATGAAGGAGATGGAATGTAAATGAAGGAGATGGAATGTAAATGAAGGAGATGGAATGTAAATGAAGGAGATGGAATGTAAATGAAGGAGATGGAATGTAAATGAAGGAGATGGAATGTAAATGAAGGAGATGGAATGTAAATGAAGGAGATGGAATGTAAATGAAGGAGATGGAATGTAAATGAAGGAGATGGAATGTAGATGAAGGAGATGGAATGTAAATGAAGGAGATGGAATGTAAATGAAGGAGATGGAATGTAAATGAAGGAGATGGAATGTAAATGAAGGAGATGGAATGTAAATGAAGGAGATGGAATGTAAATGAAGGAGATGGAATGTAAATGAAGGAGGGGGAATGTAAATGAAGGAGATGGAATGTAAATGAAGGAGGGGGAATGTAAATGAAGGAGGGGGAATGTAAATGAAGGAGATGGAATGTAAATGAAGGAGATGGAATGTAAATGAAGGAGATGGAATGTAAATGAAGGAGGGGGAATGTAAATGAAGGAGGGGGAATGTAAATGAAGGAGATGGAATGTAAATGAAGGAGATGGAATGTAAATGAAGGAGATGGAATGTAAATGAAGGAGGGGGAATGTAAATGAAGGAGGGGGAATGTAAATGAAGGAGATGGAATGTAAATGAAGGAGGGGGAATGTAAATGAAGGAGATGGAATGTAAATGAAAGAGATGGAATGTAAATGAAGGAGATGGAATCTAAATGAAGGAGATGGAATGTAAATGAAGGAGATGGAATGTAAATGAAGGAGATGGAATGTAAATGAAGGAGATGGAATGTAAATGAAGGAGGGGGAATGTAAATGAAGGAGATGGAATGTAAATGAAGGAGATGGAATGTAAATGAAGGAGATGGAATGTAAATGAAGGAGATGGAATGTAAATGAAGGAGATGGAATGTAAATGAAGGAGATGGAATGTAAATGAAGGAGATGGAATGTAAATGAAGGAGATGGAATGTAAATGAAGGAGATGGAATGTAAATGAAGGAGATGGAATGTAAATGAAGGAGATGGAATGTAAATGAAGGAGATGGAATGTAAATGAAGGAAGGGGAATGTAAATGAAGGAGATGGAATGTAAATGAAGGAGGGGGAATGTAAATGAAGGAGATGGAATGTAAATGAAGGAGATGGAATGTAAATGAAGGAGATGGAATGTAAATGAAGGAGATGGAATGTAAATGAAGGAGATGGAATGTAAATGAAGGAGATGGAATGTAAATGAAGGAGATGGAATGTAAATGAAGGAGGGGGAATGTAAATGAAGGAGATGGAATGTAAATGAAGGAGGGGGAATGTAAATGAAGGAGGGGGAATGTAAATGAAGGAGATGGAATGTAAATGAAGGAGATGGAATGTAAATGAAGGAGATGGAATGTAAATGAAGGAGGGGGAATGTAAATGAAGGAGGGGGAATGTAAATGAAGGAGATGGAATGTAAATGAAGGAGGGGAATGTAAATGAAGGAGATGGAATGTAAATGAAGGAGATGGAATGTAAATGAAGGAGATGGAATGTAAATGAAGGAGATGGAATGTAAATGAAGGAGATGGAATGTAAATGAAGGAGATGGAATGTAAATGAAGGAGATGGAATGTAAATGAAGGAGATGGAATGTAAATGAAGGAGATGGAATGTAAATGAAGGAGATGGAATGTAAATGAAGGAGATGGAATGTAAATGAAGGAGATGGAATGTAAATGAAGGAGATGGAATGTAAATGAAGGAGATGGAATGTAAATGAAGGAGATGGAATGTAAATGAAGGAGATGGAATGTAAATGAAGGAGATGGAATGTAAATGAAGGAGGGGGAATGTAAATGAAGGAGATGGAATGTAAATGAAGGAGGGGGAATGTAAATGAAGGAGGGGGAATGTAAATGAAGGAGATGGAATGTAAATGAAGGAGATGGAATGTAAATGAAGGAGATGGAATGTAAATGAAGGAGGGGGAATGTAAATGAAGGAGGGGGAATGTAAATGAAGGAGATGGAATGTAAATGAAGGAGGGGGAATGTAAATGAAGGAGATGGAATGTAAATGAAAGAGATGGAATGTAAATGAAGGAGATGGAATCTAAATGAAGGAGATGGAATGTAAATGAAGGAGATGGAATGTAAATGAAGGAGATGGAATGTAAATGAAGGAGATGGAATGTAAATGAAGGAGGGGGAATGTAAATGAAGGAGATGGAATGTAAATGAAGGAGATGGAATGTAAATGAAGGAGATGGAATGTAAATGAAGGAGATGGAATGTAAATGAAGGAGATGGAATGTAAATGAAGGAGATGGAATGTAAATGAAGGAGATGGAATGTAAATGAAGGAGATGGAAT